GTACTGAAAGTACATGGAAGTCGAGAGAGAGAGAGAGAAAGAGAGAGAGAGCAGGAGAAGAAAAACTTTTCACCTTCCATGTTTCTTTTGCTGTACCGACGGCACTGTCAAACACCAGCAAGATGAACTACTACTTAGAGGGAAGAAGGGGGCAGGAAGGGAGCAGTGTTGTCAAATGAGTGTGTCTTAAGTGGGAAGGGGGAGGCGGATAGTGTTTACATGGGCTCGGTGAAAGGGCTTTTCTGGTAGGCCTTGTTTGACATGGCCAGGATAACTAATGAATATGTTCTCTTTCTTTCTGTTTCCCCCTGTTCGTCTGTTTGTCTGTCTATCTTCCTTTTAAATCTCCTATCTTCATCTCACTATCTCATGCACGATATCCTGTCTAAATATCTGTCTTCTTTCTTTGTTTCCGTGTTTCAGTTTGTACAAAGCGGCATCTGTTGAAAAGAGGCCTTTTCGCTTTTGGGGATTTGTGGGGCCACAGTTGTTAATTGTATGTTTACAGTGGCCCCTATATCCTGCCATCAAGCCTGAAAAAAGTCTATAGGGGAGACCTGAAAGCTCATACTGGTATCTGAAAGGCCATTTTAGTGAAAGAGCTTGAAACAATTATAGTGTCAGTGAAGTGCCTGGAACTTCAGCCAGTTTCAGAGAACTTGCAGCATGTTTTGACATTAGTGGTACTTAGTAAGGTTTGGACTGGAGCCCTGTTGGTCAGTGCAGGTTTTATTTTTATAGGGGTTGCACTTAACAGCCAAGAGCAGACCACAGGAGCAATATTTTCCTATACTTCATGTTTACACTCATATTCCTTTACCTGTGTTAATGCCCCCTCAAACACCCAAGAATACATTATATTATGAAAAGCTGCCTTATCTCTGTATGAAGCTGTTTAGGACAATTTATACACTTTTCTTCCCAGCCAGTCTATGTATGTGTGATTTTACACCTCTAAGACTAAATACATTATCGTCTCCAAGGAGGCAGTCTTTTTTTTCTTGAAGATAAGATTTGAGGAGCATGCAGGGTCAGAGCATTCTTGCTTTATAAAACAGCAGAGTATTTGACCTTGGTGGCTCTCCCTCCCACAGACAGATGGGACCGGCTCAGAGAAAAACCTCAGGACGGATGAGAAATTCAGCAGTCTCTGTATTCAAAGCATTAAGTTGTCAGAGGTAGAAGACAAAGACAACAAAAAGGAAGAGAAACAAAAAAAAAAAACGTATTAAGATGAAGTAGTATGATAGTGGATCATGATTATGAGACAGAGATTGAGATGCAACACTTTTAAATAAGATAAGCCATTAAGTATTGGGTTTGGACACCTGGCTTTTCTTTTTGTCTCTTTCCTTGTTTTATCTCTCTTGCATCTTTCTTACATGCATGCACACACACAGAGCAGTATCCAGGGATCCCAGGTGCAGGATGGATGTGAAAGGCTTTGTGTTTTGTCAACAGCACAGCAGCACCTCATATGACTATCCAGTGGACTCACATAGGGAGTAGAGGGCAAAGAAAGTGGAAGATGAGAAGAGAAAAAGGGTGGGGTATAAGAAGAAGGCTGTGTGGGAGTTTGGAGAATGAAGTGGAGGAGAAAAAGGGGGAAAAAAAGAATACAACGTGAGTAGGTTTAACTGGTGTAAGATAAGTGGTAGATGCAGGAGAGAGGCAGAGACGGGCTAAAGACAGAGATAAAAGACAAGGAAGAAAGGGGGGGAGAGAGAGAGAGGTTGGCATCGAGTGAGACACAAAGTGAGTGAGCATTAGGGAGCAGGATGGAGTAAGTGATGGGAGGGAAGGGGGACAGAGTGAGAGAAAGGGTGGAAAAGGCCAGTGGCCTCTGCTCTGTCCCCTCTGTGCGCTGCTAAACTGCCCACCAGTTCCCCGCAGCTCTGTCACTTCTTGTTTGTTAATCCCCCTTTCTTCTCCCCCTCCTACTCTTCCTCGCTCCCTTTCTCTCAAATCGGTCAATTGTTAATGTGACCCCTTTAAACCCCACCGTCCCTCTCTTGCAGCATTGTCAACACATTATCAGTGTGTACAAGAGACACATTTAGAAAGGGAAGTGCTCGATGACAAATGACTATGCTTGTTAGAAAGAGTTTGCAAAAAGTATTATTTTACTGATACTCTTCCTTGTGCAAAGGAAAAACTAAAGAAACAGCACATGAATCTACGCTAGTAAATTCTTGTTTTTCATGTGTTTGGTACGACTATGGACTACTTGACATGACCAATGTCAACTCAAACCACAGGGCTTGTCAATGCATATAATAGTAATAGATCACAGTCAACATGACTGAGATGAATTAGCACAACCATCTCATCGATTGAACACCATTTACTCCTTGATCGTAACTTAATTTAAAGTATCAGATCAGAATATAACTGTGTTTTATCTTTCTAATATCATTAGCTGTGATTTGCTTTTCTTGAAACTTTAGTCACTGAATTTGTCACTTTTGTTAATGCAAATTCAATACACTGACAGCAAAGCCCATAAAGTGACAGCGAAATAAATCAAGTTTCTGAAGCACATATACATTGTCAATGTGCATGCATGTTTCAGCTTAAGTGTGTAGTGATGCACGTGTGTATGTTTTAGTCCATTAGGGAGCTGTAAGTGTTCATCCCTAGAGGAAGTTCTTTGATATTTTGTGAAAGACAGTTGAGCTCAGATAAAAGAGAAGATACCATCAATTTTCTGATGTTTGAGTGTCAGTACATAACCACCATGGAAATATACAGCACATATTAAAGGTTCCATTGAATCCAATTAGTTTTTCACAGGTGAGGGTCTTTTATAGATTTTCTTCCTATCCAATGAGCATATGATTAGCCCTTGCTTTTCATTAGCCACACCCAACTAGAAATACATATTCTATCAAGGACACTACAGATGGACATATATTTCAATGGGAATATCAAACTAGCAATACCCTTCATTATAATATATTCCAACAAAATTATTGACCGTGAAGTAATTGTACTTCAGTGCTTGTACTTCCAGGAGGATTTGCTCAGTGTTAACACTAACTAAAAAATATAAAAGCTGACTTCAAAGCTGAAACTAAAACATGAGTATTTCAAATTCCCTGCCACTGCCTGCCTTTGTTTCATAATGGAACTACTATACGACAGACTATTGCATAGACATTAAAGTTGCTGAACCAAAGGCTGTTACTGTGATTGACCACATGAGCTAAGAATGGAGAACAGTTAAAAACATCAGAAAATATAGTGGCCACGCTGCCACACTAGTACTGGGTCGCTCGCATTAGTTACAAGCTGTTTATGGCTAGGCCACTTGCTTTTGGATCAGCTTTTTAATGTAGACAAACAGGACCCACAGTCATAACTTATGTTTCACACTTTTTTCACAAGGACTACATGTTGAAAAACCATACTTTTGTTGCACTTGAGGACAATCCAGCTTCACCCCCCCAAAGAAAAGAAAAGCTAAAACCCATGAGAAGTGGCCAGCAGTTGGAATTTCCCAGTGCTCAGCCAGTGTTGGCATTTATGTCATTTTGGCATGCATCACACATCCATTTCTGCACACATCCATCTTTCTTGAAAGTTTTGAACCTATATGAAACTAGATGCAGTTTCTGTGCCTTCAGTTTCTAAGAAGGTTATCTCAATCACCCATACTTTACTGTATGTCACTTTCACTAATTGGTTGATACATTCTGGCTGTGCATTTATAATTATCCCATTCTTTGTGATCTGCTTAAAAAAAACAACTAAGAAATGAGAGGTTGAAAAGGGAGTAGGGGAGCAGATTCTGTATCTGCTAGTAGTTTATTTCAGAGAGGAAGGACTATCTCCGCTTGCAGCTGTTAAGCATCTGGTCTCAATGATCATGCTGGAATGAATGAAAATCTTAAAAGCCGTGAAGGAAAGACACTTCTGTGATCCTTTTTTCCCTCAAGTGACAAACAGGTGTCCTTTTGAAATCTGATAAGTAGTGAATACAACAGCTTTGTTCTAGTTCTTAGGATCTGTATCAGTTGTAAGAGTAAAAAAACATTTGCTTTTCACAATATCAGGTGTTCGAGCATGTATTTATTTTCTATATGTTGCATGTTTTTTGTCTTATTTATTTATTTATATCTTTTAGTGAATAAATATCTATCTCACAATAGTAAGATAGATTATATTTCAGTTCATATGGAATGGGTTTATCAAATGAATACAGAGTATGCACGAAATTGATATTTGGCTCTGACCTTGTCACTCCCTGCAAGCACCAGCACAGCAAAGATCAGGGAGTGAAGATATTAAACTTGTCCACCACTTACAAACCTACAGGTGGATGCTAGGCTCATGAAATGCACAATGAACAGCTGAAGCCGTGGCAGAATCACAGTAATGAAATCGCACAACTACAGCATTAAAACAGCATAATAAATGTCCCAAAGAACACAATTGACAATTAAAAGTGCAAAAGAGATCTGCGAGAGAACAGATCAGTGGCCTTGCATACCTCAATCAGACAAGGACGGAACAAAGCATGTTAAAGTAGGAAAGGCTTGCTCATGTTGGGTGTGTTGTTATATGGGTGTCTAGTATATCAAAGCAGAGTACCTTGAAATGTCTCCCTAACTAACCCACAGGCTCTTTGTCTGTCAGAGCATGTTTCACTACATATTAAATACATGATACATTGCTCTTTCCAACGTATAACACAACATTTCTTAATGTTATTATAACTTTTTCCCCCGTTCAGTAAGCTTCACAGATAATGAAACCCCCTACGTCTGGCTATGTTACTGCAAATACTTGCAGGTTCTTCTTTGTTTCTTTTTCTAAAAACCCGGCAGCACAAGTTCATACATTTCATAGCATTAATAATGTAATTCCTGACCGTAGCAGTGTTTGTACTCTTTCCTCTATAAAAAAAAAAAGGATTATCCATGATTTATGAATGTAATTTCAATTTGTCTCTCTCCCAACTAAATGTATCCTAATTTATCATTTTGTCTGTTTTATAGGCAATATATTGGACAGTATGCTGCTGAGAGCATCCAATAAGGAGGCAGTGGAGAGTGGGAAGGAAGCAAGTGGCAGCACAGCTCCTGCGTCATCCTCTCAAAGACTACTTTGGTGTCACTGTTACCATCACTGCCCAGAAGATTCCACCAATAATACATGCAGGTATGGCAAGAAGTGAAATAAGCAAACAAAACTTGAAGAAACCACCATTTCAACTGTCCTGAAATCTCAAATAATAACACCAACACAACAATACATGTACCATGTATTCACAGACAGTGTGATGATACGTTTTTCCTAAGGTTACCAGTATGTTGGTGGTTGCATTACTTACTGTAGCTAAACCTTGTTTTCCAGGACGGATGGCTACTGTTTTTCCATGGTGGAGGAGGAGGGAGGGGTACCGGTCCAGACTGCAGGTTGCCTGGGGTTGGTCGGATCAGAGTTCCAGTGCAGGGTGAGTGGATGGCCATAACACTACAATCCACATTTTTTGCATCTCAGATCGTTACAAAATGTATACTTTAAGTGAGTAAGTGAATAAATTAGAAAATTCTGACCCTACTATAAGCAGTGTTCACTATTTGTGAGCCCCTTTATGACTTCTTTGTGACAAATTTAGAGTTGCAACTAACTAACTTTTTCTTTTGATTAATTGATGAATCTTTTACATATATATTGCTTATAAAATATGGAAAATGTTTATCACAGTTTCCCAGAGATGAAGGTAACATCTTCAAATTTTGTCTGGCCAACCGTCTAACATCTGAAGATTTTCATATTTGATAATCTGAATGCTGTTTCATGACGGAACAGTTAATCAATTGTCAAAAATTATTGAATATCTCTGCCATTCAACCAATAAGTGAATTGCCTTATCACTAACTTAATCAACAACTGAATGCAGAAAGTATAAAAAAGGAAAAGTGAAAAAGAGTTTAAAAAAATCACTTTTCTGTCTTCCAGGACACAGGGAACTCACGTCAGAGGAGATCGCTAGAGTGCTGTACGGACCAAGATTACTGTAACAAAAACCTGCATCCTACACTGCCACCACTCAAACCGCCTCGTAAGTTTATCTGTGTACTCTCATCCGTCCACAACTCTTTCTTGCCCATGAAACATAAAAAAGATTTTGAAGAGCCACTTGTCCTCCAGTCTGCTGGTGACAGTGACAATGATATAGACAGGGCCAGGAACTGTGACTGATGGTGTTACAGCACACAGGATTCAGAGATAGAGACATCGTGACATTGTCAAAAGAGTCAAAGATGGCTAAAGTGGGGGAGACAACGGGAGTTACTGTCAAACTGTCTTGCGGCTGGCCAAAGCTGCTGGGTGTCAAGAGAATACCGAGGTCTCTACCGTGTAGAACACTATACTCCATGTGCGCGCATGAGAGTCTTTCTGTGTATTTGAGAGACAGTAAGCCTAGATTCCCAGGGAAATCACAAGCCACAGCAGACAGCGAGGGCAGAGTCATCAATCTGAAACCCTATCATAGGGGATCAGGAAGAGAATTCATCGACTATGCTGAGGGCTTCCTCTCGCTGTTGACTGGGGGCCTTGAGGGAAAAGAGTGTGTGCTGGAACAAAATGAAAAATTGATGAGTGAAATATGATTTGTACTTGATTTACTGTACACCGGTTCTTTTAAGTGACTTGTAAGGATGAGTGATTTCTTGGTTGAATTTTCTCTGTTTCCTTCCCATGTTTTTTTTTTTTCTATTAGGGATATCAGAGGTTTTTATTAGATTTTTTTGTTTTGTTTTTCAGCGTAAGTTTCCTGAGTAGAAAATGTTTCATACATTCATTGCATTATTGTGGATCACTGGCAAAGAGAGTGAGAGCAGGGAAAGACAAATGTGATTGTGTTTTCTTTCAGACATTGATCCTGCCCCTCTCTTCTCTTCCATCTTACTTTTGTTCTCTCACCACCCCACCCACTATTTTTTCACCTCTTCATTGTTCCCCCTCTAGTCTACGTAGATGGAAAGATCCACCACATGGCCTTGTTGATCTCAGTCATTGTGTGCAGCATTATACTGGCTGCTATTATTGTCTTCTGCTACTTCAGGTAAATTACATCTGACTTTCAAACAAACACAAATCCAGATTAATTCACACTTCTTGCTACAGTTTACAGCAACATAGTACAGTTACCATTGCAGTACATATTCTTTGAAGTCGTAGGGTATGCTGAATAATTCTCTGTTTTTACAGGTATAAGCGCCAGGAGTCTCGTCCTCGGTACAGTATTGGTCTGGAGCAGGATGAGACCTACATCCCTCCTGGAGAATCTCTGAAGGACCTGATAGAGCAGTCACAAAGCTCTGGCTCAGGCTCAGGGCTCCCTCTATTGGTGAGATATACTTACTGCAGTGAAACACCTGTTAGATTAGGAAGAGGCTCCATTGATCACGTACGTGCACACATTAGAGCACATGGCACTTGATTACATTTTGTCTCATGTATTTCCATGTAGGAGTAGTGTGGGGATATAATGGTGGTTGATTTGATACGTACAATAAGATTGGAGTAGTTGTTTTCATGCATGTTCTACTTGGGAAAACATCCCAAAGTGTAAAATCATTATTCCTGATTTTTCTGGGGAGCTCCTATATCTATAATTTGGTTGAATCTCACATCAAATCTAACATATCCCTTTTCCATCCTTTGCCTCAGGTGCAGAGAACAATAGCCAAGCAGATCCAGATGGTGAAGCAGATAGGCAAGGGGAGGTATGGAGATGTTTGGATGGGTAGATGGAGGGGAGAAAAGGTGGCTGTTAAAGTGTTCTTCACCACGGAGGAGGCCAGTTGGTTCAGAGAGACTGAGATCTACCAGACCGTCTTAATGAGACATGAGAACATACTGGGTAAGACTGGTTACTGTCTTTGGTCACGTGTCTTTTTTGTTTCATATGTTACTTCTTGTTACTGATTTCTAGTCTCTGTTTCTATGTTTTTTGTCAGTCTTGTTCTTTCAGTCTCTCTAATTGTCTTTAGAATCAGTGTTGTGCTTAAAAACAATGGATGGATGGATTGGTTAATTTATAGGTGACTGATAAATTAATACCATATGGGTTTTGCAGAAAAATGTACAAAAACCTTACAATAAAAATGCCTGTTTAGACTGTGTCCATTTGTAACTATGCTGCACCACACTGCAGTCAGTGCCAAAACAGATCAATTATAGCCAAGAGACCGTACACCACAACAAATTATAAAGTTGACAACAACAGACTGCAAACCAAAGCTTGCATAATTAAACACCACAAGATGCATAGTAATTAAGTAGTGGGGCAAAAGATCACTTGCCAGTAAACTAGAAGACAGGCTAGATGCTGCAGTGCATAATGCTGCCTTCCACAGTCGATACTACATTTAGTTTTAATTTGAGCACTAGGATCTTTTTTCTGGATGTCATCAAACCCACCAAATCAGGCAATTGCCAAAAATATTGATATGTTAAATTAAATGCATTACAGCTTCCTTAAAATAAATTAAAATGTTTAAGCTCATTATACTGATTTTGCATGATTTAGACTAGTTAGTTTCAACAGTAACAAATTTGAAAAAAAAACACCTTTCACCACAGAATGCATGCTCAAAACACATTTATAAAAACCAAGATATTAATCTGAAAAATGAAACTGGTCTGTTCTGCTTTGTCAAATTTAGCCAGTGATGTGGAGATTTAGTACACAAAACAGTTCTCTGACTTTAGTGTAACTCTCTGCCTGTTAACATCCTTCATTCTCTGCACAGGTTTTATAGCTGCTGATATTAAAGGAACCGGCTCCTGGACCCAACTCTACCTAATCACCGACTACCATGAAAATAGCTCTTTGTACGACTACCTCAAATCAACCACTCTAGACAACAAAGCCATGCTGCGGCTTGCCTACACCTCTGTGTCAGGCCTTTGTCACCTCCATACTGAGATCTTTGGCACCCAGGGCAAACCTGCCATTGCTCACAGGGATCTGAAGAGTAAGAACATACTGGTGAAAAGAAATGGGACCTGCTGTATAGCAGACCTAGGACTTGCAGTCAAGTTTATCAGGTGAGTGTGTTAGAGAAGATGTGTTGCTGTTTGATTAAAATGTTCCTCTTTCATTTTTTATTTGAATCCTGAATTTAAGCTCTGGTAGAGGGTTGGAAATGTTCATAAATCAAAGTATTTTGTACTTATATAAATTCAAAGGATTCAGTGATGTGCAGGGCTAATTCATTTTTTCTTTAAAATTGCTACTTTGATCTTTCTGCAGTGACACCAATGAGGTGGACATCCCTCCCAACACTAGAGTCGGTACAAAGCGCTACATGCCTCCAGAGGTTCTGGACGAGACTCTGAACAAAAGTCATTTTCAGTCGTACATTATGGCCGACATGTACAGCTTTGGGCTCATACTCTGGGAGATCGCTCGGCGTTGTGTCTCCGGAGGTAAATACACAAACATCTTCTAAACACCAGACTGCCTCAAAAAATGAAACCTGTGCTTTGATGGCTCTAGTGTATGGATTTTAAATACTGTTACTTTTTTTTTTCGACAGAATTTATCAAACAATACATGAACAAACTTATTTGTTGCAGGGATCCTTGAAGAGTACCAGCTGCCTTACCATGAGTTAGTTCCTACAGACCCTTCTTATGAAGACATGAGAGAAGTGGTCTGCATCAAGAGACTACGACCATCCTTTCCTAATCGATGGAGCAGTGATGAGGTAAAATATACCAAAGAATGCCGTATATGCATGCACAAACACAAACAAGTGAATGACCTTGCTGACATAAATCTGTATCTCCTCCAGTGTTTGAGACAGATGAAGAAGCTGATGGGAGAATGCTGGGCCCACAGCCCAGCCTGCCGCCTCACAGCCCTACGGGTCAAAAAGACACTTGCCAAGATGTCAGAATCACAGGATATCAAGCTGTGAGCGGGCGATGCCAGGTGTGTGTTTACACACACAGAAAGGGCATTAACAATCACACTGGCTCTGCTCCGGGCTGCACAATCCTTTTTCCTGGGAAAAGGAGGCGGGACAGGAAGCAAGATCATCAGTTGGAGATCACAAATGATCCAGATGCCCAGAACTCTGCAATCCAAGTCCCCCCTAAAAAATGTATTACACGACTTCCGTGGTTAGCTAAAACTTTATAACAATCAGGCCCTGTGTGGCCTTGTTCTGTCCGTCAGAGAAGATGAGACATTTTCATTTCAGACTAGTGTAAGGACTCTAAAATCCTGTTCCTGTTCACATGCTCCAAAGGTCCTTGGAGAGAGTTTGACTTGGCACTGTAGCTGCAGAGATACACAAAACAAGCTACTGACCAGTGAGTGGATACTATATCACTGCTTTCCGTGAAAGCTACCCTACCTGTAGATGAAGGTCCGATTGATAGAACTGAAGGGATGTACTTTAAGGCAGTCTGTTATTACAGGATGACACCTCCTTTCTAAACACTGTCACCCCCACTACTGCCTTTAGGTTGTAATTGGATTGAACACATTTTTTTGTCACTCTTAAATTGACTTACAATGACTGACACTATGTGACAGAAAAAAAGCTTATTTTGAGGCTTTGATGTTTTGTTAACGCTGGTAACGTTTGTAGACACTGAAGAAAAGATAAACCTGTATTTCTGAGTTGTGATGGGATATGAAAGTTCAAACTCTTTAAGACTATATGTGAAAAATAAAGTTCATATGTCCAAATAAATTCTGGATTGAGGCTCTACATGCCTCTGTGTTTCCTTGCCCTTAAGTAAATAAAACCTGCGTGAGGATTGCATTGCAGTAATGGGAGCGATTGAAGCAGAACGGTGCCACCCGTAGGTGCTCCACAGCATAACAGGAAAGGAAGCCTGCCGAGGCAATCGAGAATTGTTACCTGTAGTGGTGACTTCTTACTTGATGACGTAATCTCTTATCTTATCTTATAAATGTTTGGAATTGTGCCTGTTTTAGATTAGGGGTACCTTGTCTTGGTGGACTGCTATCAATCACTCCCAGGACTGCAGAGGGACTATGCGATGTATATGTGTTTTTTAGGGAGCTGGACCTGAAGCTTTTACTTAAGATATAACAGTCAAACACACAGTTGAAAAAAACGTCCTAGAAAAACACCCCCAGCCATCCCTAAACTATCACACCACCAGAATTACCCTGTGGACATCACAAGGTCAATTTTCCCTGACCACCAGGCTGCCTCATACATGTAAATTAAAGTACACATTGAACTGTCTCACCATAATAAACCATTTGCAGCTGTCACACTGAAATCAAATGGCAGCTAAGTCATTAAAAAACCCATCATCTGGCTTCTGTTAGGCAAGTTTCTCCACTAATTCAAATTCTCATATAGTAGCAGGAGTATTAGGAAGCTTAAACAGCCTCACTGCCTCAGTGTGAAGTTCTCAAAGTAAATCTGGACACCTTTCATCATCACCGTTGGCAAACTGTTAGGTCCTCGACAGTGGTTTGCCATCACATCAGTACCAGTTGAGATTCCCCTCAAATAGCACTAATGCATTCATTTTTAACTGTTTTTTTTTTTTGTCTTTTTATAAAGGCATTGCTAAACTTTCTTTCAGGTCAACAACTTTATTCTTTTTTTTTTTTTGGGTCTCTGCTGACTAAAATAATGGGATGCTCTGTCACTGTTGAAGGTGTGGCAGATTTGTTGTGTTTTTAATGCCCTTATCTTTCTTCTTGGGTGTTGTGCCTTATTTAACCTGTACCTACTGTAGTTGTCTGTGAGAGAAAGTGGTGTTTTTATTCAGTAAAAAGGTTGAACATTCCCCCAATAAAGTGTTTCACTCATCCACATGGCTGATGCACAGTTTGTGGTGGCTGAATGAGGTGAATACTAACAAGTCACTTGGTACTGCCTCTTACTGTTAAGGCATGCTCTCCATATTTTCTTTGTTAAAAAAAAAGCAGCATGCCTCATTACAACTCACCGGTGCTGCTGAGCACACAGCATGTTAAATAGTGACGCCACAAGGATTTTCTGTTTCAATTTCCTCCCCTTCAGGGTACTTTATCCAACTAATTATTAAGTCTGGAACCTGTAAATATGAATTTCACAGAAAGAAGGTAGAAAATAGAAGCACTGCAAATCAAATGTATATATTCATGGTCTACAAATTGCATTTCTGACTGTTCCCCCTGACAGTTAGCTGTACTAGTACAATGTAAATGTAAAGCCATTTCCTGAAACATTCAAAATAAATAAGCCACCATATGCACCACACATTTTCAGCGTTGCTTATAAATATAATTTATTAATTGTCTTAAAAATTCTTTCTTACACTTTGTACAGAAAACAATTAGAGAAGATAGAGGCGAGCATTCAGCAAGATTGAGCAAGATTCATGAAGCGTGCCAGAATTAGCTAAAATTGACCAACACTACCCCGCACTAATCAAATCAAATCACTCCTGATAGTAAAATAAAAATGCACTTACAAGCACAGCTCTATTTATAGACTTCTATCATGATAACCAATGCCAAGTTTGCATAGTAGACACTGCTTTTACAAAAAAGGAAAGAAACTTAAATAAAAAACTTGAAACATACAAACTAGTATCTAACTGTACTGCTCTTTTTTATATGCTGAAATTTGCCAAATATAGCTGACAGTACACAACTGAACATACTGTGGATAGAAAATATTTTTACATACTTTGATATCTTAACACTACTTTCTTAATTTTCACATCACAAATGATCTCCTTCTGGAGGCCTACATTTGCTCTCCTCATATGTCTACTCCATTAACAAACAGTCTGTCCTGCTGGTAACATGTAGACTTACAACGTGGCATCAATCATATTTTGGGGCAAAGTTACACAGTAACTGGTAACTTACATTTCTTAACCAACTGTTTCCTTGTGCCTGGTCCACCACTTACACTTTGATCTTGTATTCTACATTTGAGTGAGTAAGAGATGTTGATGATCACATTGTATGAAAGAGACACCGTCATGACCTTTGGGTTCATATTTTGTTCTGAAACAAATTATGACTTTTATCCTTGAAATTTACACAATACTTCCCTTTGAATTTCTTCCCATCTGACATCAGCAGTTACATTTGAAAACTTATAAAACATCCACTCAGTCATTTAACCATACACCTTTTCCTAATTTGCTTAATAAGGCTGTTCGAAATTAAAACATACATAGTTTCGAGCCCTCCACGTCCACTGCGCCTGATTTTACATCGATGCAAGAGGTTGGATTTCTAACTCGCATATTTCCAACCGACTGAACAAAGAAAGAAAAATCAATGTGAAAAATCAATGTCTCAAGGTTTCCTCCTGTGTGGACAACCACCAAGATGAAATCTGTCATGAAGAGGTAAAAATCTGACCTTTTGCACCGGTGTTAACTCAGCCTTTGTTTGTCAGCCTGCTTGGTTTTCTCTACAATATCCTCCTTAGTATCTCCTCTACATATGTTCGGTTTCATATGGCGTCTCTCCATAGTTCAGAGTAGAAATATCTTAACCCCAGTTTTTGAATATTTTACATGTATTTCCTTTGAAGTGAATGTTCCTGTTGTCCTTTACATGGTGAATAGAGGTCTCGTCTCCAAGGGCATCTGACAATTATTCAAAAGCCACCAAAAATAAGGCTGTTTGTCGTTCCTCAAAGCTGGTTTGTTGGAGTTGCACCTTTTTCACCAGACACCGTTGACCTGAGTCAATGCATACATTTGAAAGCCAGCCTTGGTTCACAATATTGTTCTGCAAAACACAAATATATTACACTTCATTTTACATAAGCCCCTTTAGTTGGTATCTTGATTTTTAGCTCTAAATCGCAACTTTTTCAACAAATACACCATGAACTGGAATGTTAGGTGCCGACAGAACAGGTTTTTAGATAAAGGGCAACTAACTGATATGTTACAGATTTCATCCCACCCCCTAAAAACATTAAAATGGCAAAACAAAGTTAATGTAAAATAAAACAAGAATGACCACTGAAGAAAATTATTATGCTAATAAAGGGTCATTAGAATGAACATGATAATCATGTATTTACACGTTTCAGACGATAAAAAAAAACGTAAATGCTGTTATTCTTCAAAAGCCACTGGATGGTGCTAGTGACCAGCAAAGTCATGGTTGAGATCACAAATGAAATCACATGTGGCCTGACGGCAGATAACACAACTGACATCTTGTGATGATGGGACATATGAAAGAAATATATGCATATATATATATATATATATATATATATATATATATATATGTAAGCTATATATATTTTAGTAAATGAAAATAGGATTGATAAAATCTGTATATTGGGTACATTTAGCGGTAATGAATGATATCAGCTGTATTTAATTCACTATCACATAATACTATGGTACTTTGTATATTACTGTATTTTTAGTTCATCCCTTTTTGCTTCCTCTCACTTTTCTCTGAGTTGGACCCAGTCCAGAAACAAGCCCCGACAGTCTCACAGAGAGACTCCTGGATTTGAGGTCGTGGTTAACCAAATGTGGTAGCCACAGCTGGAGTTCCCCACCCTGCATCACCAAACAGCTCCTCTTTGGGGAGGAAACAGAGCAGCAGCATTACTGCATATAGCACGTTAACACTCGATTTTAGTTTGAGATGCATTCGCAGCTTAAAGATCATCGTTACATTGCTTCAAACTTGTGGTGGTGTGAAGCTGCATGAAGCGCAAAAGTTGTTGTATACAACTTTAAAACGAGCGAATGCTTGCGTCTTTGAAACTAACATATTAGTGTACTGTACTGTAGTATACTGTGCGTGAGAATGAATAGCTGACAGTCGGCATCTTTAGCTCGTTTATCTGTTTATCATAAGTGCAATCTTAAATATACCTCAAAACAGACAATTTCAAAAGTCTGTCACAACCTTAAAAATGGAAAACAAAACATTTTTTTTTTCTTGCATCCATCTGGAGTATAATCATCTTTGGATTGGCTTATTTAAGAAAATTAGAGGCACAAGTTCAAGGCGAGTGGACAGCAAGTTCAGCTACCTTTGACTTAGTACCTCTAGATTTCCTGTAACCTGGATGATTAAATATCACTCATGCACTTTGGAGGAAAGCCACAAACTCAATACATAATAAAACACAAATTTAGACATCATAGCCAAAAAGGGAAACTCTTGTCTTGGGCTTGTTTCTGGTCAGGATCCTTGATTGACAGTTACTGTGTAGCAAATTCTGTTAGCAGGAAATGATCCACACATATGGACAGCAGAATACATAGAGCGTTCCCTAGGAAACGATATAAAGACAACAAACTGTACTGGCAAACACGTACAGCCAAGTCTCACAAGAGAAGAGTGGGATCACGCCTTTGCCTCCCCTCTCTCATTATCTGTTTTCCATCCTGTTCGTACGGATGATCACCCGCGGCTTCTTCCATCATTTTATGTTTACGTCCTCTCTGCCTTTTGTAATCAGTTTAGCTTCTCTCTGTGTTTACTCTTACTAAAGAGTCTTGTCTCTAACACACTCTCTCCTTTTCCTAACTCCACCTTCTCACTCTTTTTAAATCAGTTTAGCTTCCCTCCCTTTATGATTCTGTTCTATTCCTATAGAGGTTTTCAAGGTCAGTACCTGCGTTGCTTCTTTTTTTCTCGTCTCTGCTTCTCTTTGTTCGGTATAAAGCAACAGCAAGAGAACAACTAGTGTTACACTGGACATGGTTTTCTTTTTTTTTTTTTAGGCGTGTATGTTTTGTTTGTTCCTGATAGACTCTGTGTTGTAAGTTGGGTTATCTCTCCTTCGGTCACAAACGACACTGCTGCGTTGCTCAAATAAACACACGAAGATACACACATAGTTCCAGCACCAGCTTGAGCACTTCTCGTTTAGTCTGTTACCATGTCGGCATGATTAACCTGGTATTTAACTGGTGCTCAATCACCATGGTGACAACTTTTCTTTTGCTCGCACCTAATTTGTTCATTGCCCTTGCTGCAGTATCAACCGTAGAGAATTAACATGTAATTGTCTCCAGAGTTCTGCCACTGTCACAGTAACCACGTTACTTGGTCAGTGTTCCGTTGTCATGGAGGCGAAGTTACTGTCATGGCGACCCATCTCTTCCAGCACAGCGGCCAGCTCATTTAGGTCTCCGTCAGGGAAATGCTGGGCCTCCCAGAGATCCAGGATCACACCTGTTGGACTGGACTTGGTGGCAAAGTAGTTCAGGTACCTGAAACAATGGTGAGGGACAAAAGATATGGTCGATATTTTATGACAGAAAAGGTTTGTTAGAGACGCAAAACATAGAAACACACAAACGCAAGACATGTTATATAATGAAATAATAACCAGTTACATAATCTTAGATATTAATTTTCTTAACAGCCTATTTGGAAAGTTTTAAATAACTTCAAGTGATGACATAATCGCTTGAAAAAAGTCAAACTGGAAGGAAGAAATTGTTGCAGTGTAGTGTCTCGGTCGTGTCTGAAAAGTATTCTGAAAAGACGGAAAAGTGAATCATTCTGCTTTCTCATATTGCAAAGGTGACAAATGATTTCCTTTTATTTATTATTAATGCTTTAGAAGTTAAATGCAATTAATAGTTACATGGTGTGACTGCTCTTTTGAGAACTCTGACTTTCTTTATAAACTAAAATCTTCTTTAAACATATTGAAAGGACCTGGTATGTGACAGCAAAGGCACACAGAATAAGATCTGTGATTGAGACCTGAATGATATAAAATGCAATGAGTGAAGGACACGATGAAAAGAGGTGAATCCTTTTTATAAAATCTGCCATTATGTATATTCAGTTAAAACTATTTTAACCAAATAAGAAAAATTAATACTTTTAGAAATTGCGAGCACCAAATTGTGTCAACAAGTCCACAGGGAGAACAGTTTTTGTAGCACTGAAAGAGTCAAGTGCACAATGGTTGCAGAGGAGAAGTCTGACGGTGAGCCATCTGTGACAAAGATCTCAATGCTGCTTTAGTGGAAAAGCCATCAGATTTGAGTCCCATGGGGATAAAAAATGAGACTTTCTGTTCCTCTGTAAATCCTGTGATTGTACTGTTAGCACTCTGTGGTACTGTTTAAACACAACCAGAGACATGTACATCACCCCTCTGCATATTTCTGTCTGTCTCACATCTAATAAAGTTATTTCCATTACTTTCTTTATTTCTCACTCTCCGTCTCAGCCTCCATCTTGCTGCAGTATGTGATTAGGGGTGTCTCACTGTTACATGAAATCAATAGCCGAGATCCACCTTTTGTTGTTGTCTCAGTACAATAGATCGAAACTTTAATGATAGTTTGGGTTTCTGGAAGTAGGCACCAGATTCCTTTGACAAAGACAGTCATTTTACTTCACAGAACACTGGTCCACCGCTGCCTCGATCGGTTAGTTTGTATGTGCTATTCAATAATTTGGGTGTTTAACACAGTTAGGATATGAACTAATGTTGGTTGCTGTGGATCGAGGAAGCAGCAGACCAGCATCTGTTATGTTCAGCGAGGTAAAATTACTGTTTTTGTCACAGGAGTATGGTGGCTTTGGATGACTTTTTTTAGGTAGGTGCTTCGGTGCTGGGACTCCTGTCTGCTTCTCCAAATTGGGGCGGCTTTCAGACTCCCATGTAAGTACTATGCTGACTATGGATAAGTACCGCATACCCCACTTAAATAAACCTGAACTATCCCTTAACAACTATATTTTTGTTTGCTTTTGTAAAGTGTACAGACCTCAGGTTTTACTGTTTACATATACATGAGCATGAAAGTTATATGAGGAGAAATGGCTGTGACGGCAAAGCATGAGTCATACTTTAAAGTCAAACAGACATGACGTGGCAGTTACAGGACCAGAGAGGATAAAGGGTGGTATTTTTCTTTTTTAGACAATTTTATCATTCTCCTTTTGAAAAGTGGCTTTTAGTGGAAATGTGGAAGTAAACAACAATTTGGCTAGCTGTCCATTTTGCACCCACAAATCAGGAATATTTGGTGCCCACATTAACAAACTACATGATGAGCTGGCTGCCTATTGGGACAACGAGGTGCACTTGTGCCCAATTATCCTCTCAATGGCTGCTTGCTGCTCTGGTAGCCACCGGTAAATGAACCTCCGGACTGAATCATCAACTCACACATCTGCGGATTGAGATACTTGCTACTTGTGAGTCAGACAGACAGTCATATACAGTATTTACTATAAGTGCTTGGGAGTCCAGCAGTACTGCATTTTACTCAAACTCTGCAGGGACTCGGGTTTAAAATAATGAAATGAGTTGACACCAAGTGACCAATTTTTTTGTACGCAGTTTAGAACTGTAAAAGGCCACTAGTCACATAGAATTAACATAATTAGTTGTCAGTGTGATTATGCGTCTTTAGTATTTGTATGTGATATTGTATCTTTGAGTGCTAAGGAGAAAAAATAAGTAAGAGTAAAAACAAGAACAAGACTCATCTCAGTCACAGGTCACACAGAAACTGACTCATTTTCTTCTTCTGTTGTTAAAGAGGTGAGGCAGGCAGCCTTGATGAGCTGCTATCCGATTTGAGAAGAGTTGTTTTTCTGACTAAACGATGCTCCAAACCAAGCAAAACGCCTGAGGAAAGCATACAGGGAATAAATGATTTTTAAAAATGTGTGTCACCTGTCAAGGTTGAGTTTGTGGGCCAGCATCCTCCAGTCATTGCCTCTGGTCTGTGGTGCATCTAGACTGCCGCACAGCTTCTGTCTGATGGATAAAGGAATGCGGAAGGCATTGGGCCCCACTAAGGTGGTGATATTACTGGCAGGGTCCATCAGGGACGTGTCTATGCACTGGACCTCCTGGAGAGACAGAAAGAAAAATTACGAGTTACTTCAGCTTTTTGAAAAGTTGAATTCATGGAAATTCAATGAAATTTCCTATGCATATTGTTGTGCACAGTATAACTTCTGCAGTAGAGACATGGGTGAACAGGTGGACAATATACTAGGAAGCCTTAAAAGTAAAATGTGGATCATAATGTGCATCCATGTGGCAACACTGGCAAAGTTAAATCCATCACATTTCTATTATAAATACCTCACTATCTTAGTCTTTTTTTGTAGATTCTCCTTGTCTCCCTGCTACTGGCCTTCGGTGTGACCAATTACTGATATGTTTCCTAATTAATACAAAAAGGAGTGAACCAAACACAAAGATCTGCTACCAAGCACTCTCTCTATCTCCCCTCTCGCTGTTGATCTGTCTTTTTCTAAACCTTCATCCCATTAATCTGCCACTCCTGGGCTGAAAGGAGGCAGCAGTCTAATGAATGTGGCTTGGCAGAGGGAAACAACAACTGCCACTGTTGATGTGAATGATTACTATTTACTGCGTCTACTTAGCCCCAATTTACAGCAGAAAGCTCTCTGCTGCTGGAGATTGAATGATTGATGCAAAGGGATATCTCTGTGAAATAATAAATACTTTAAACCTAAATGCTTTATTTTCCATTGTTCAAGACACTGAGGGTCAAGAGCATTTTATTCAAGGCATACACAAAGAGATTAAAAGGATATTGCTTTAGCTGTTCAGATCTAATTACCATACTTGCTAAACATCCCATGTGATCATAGTAATTATTTTTGTAAGACTAGGTATGGCCTATTTAAAATGGATTACAACTGATCTTTTAACAAAATATTTAATGTTGTATCAAAACTATCATTGCCCAAATTGAAGTGTTAATTTTTACTGTGTACATGTTGCACAACCGACCACAGCTCTGCCTTTTTGTGTTGCTTATATTTGGCAGAAGGCATAATGAAGTAAGTAGAGAATCACATTAAGAGGTGCAGGAGAAAAGCAGGATGGGACATTTCTACTTTGCTTTCTTTCACTGTGTGATTTTGCACCTCTGACAGTTTAAAAGCTGCATTAGAAAAGACAAGAAGACAAATGATCACAACTTATTTTCCTGGATCGACACTTTACGGGCAGGATATGAGAATTCATAAGTGACTCATTGTTTTTATTCACACAGTTGTCCGTCCGTATTAGAGTTGGTGGCAAACAATGAGAGAAAATGTACTTACTAATCACAATTGTGGTATTTGAATTTAGTACTCTGATGTATTCTGGCCACTTCCTCAAAGACTGTCTGAGAACATCATTGTCAGCTTTGGGTTGGACGATGATATTAGCCAATATTAACACAGATATATCAAAGACTTATTGGTATGCGTGCATAAGTTGGCCGATAAGCAACACAGAATGCCAAAAAGTATGTTTTTCTGTGTCTCTGTTACATAGTCTTCCCACCTATGAGCACTAACAAGTTTATTTTAGAACTGTACAATTCTTCTCAACAAAAGGTAGAGTTTCTATTTTGAGTGTAGGAAATATGCTCAGATAAGAGGTGGAGAAAGATGACGATGACTAATCACTTTAGTGTTAAAATGTTCCGTGCATTAAAGGGTAACTTCGGTATTTTTCAACCTGGACCTTTTTTTTCCCCATGTGTTTGTGTCAAAGTGACTAATGGGGACAACAAGTCTTGAATTTGGTCCAGTATTGAGTGAGAGTGCAGCAGCCTGCAGCCACGGAACAGGCTACAACGAAATCATTATGGAAATGTGTACTGTTAAAATACATCCATTAAAGAGGGAAAAAATGGGTGGAACACTGGCGGTGTTCCTGTGGGTTCCATTGCCCTATGCCCACACAGGGGATTTCACAGACCGGATCAAGCGAAAGGTATCGAAAACATTAAAACTTTTCTGTAGGGTCCTATCCGTAATGTTGTCAGGCACTTAATAACAATAACAATCTGAGTCAGTGGCTAAAACGGGCACTATTAATGGACGTATGTTGACGCATTCAGCCCATGATTGGACCAAATTCAAAACATGGGAAAATAACAAGGTTACTCTTTATGTTCTGTTAACTTGGGATACCTTGAAAATATTACACAACTCTAACAAGCAGCAACTTGAACTCCACAAATAAATTTGGCATTCTGATTTTGCTCAATGGCAATGCTGGAGGAATAAAATCAAAAATATGTAACCCTCCCTGCTGCTGCAACTTTTCCCCTACATGCAGTAAAAACTATCCTTCTTTGTCATCTTACCTGGTTAAACAAGGGTTAAAAAAATCGAAAGTGCAACACTATCACCCATGAACACCACGGGAGAATTCAAAGCAGTGACATTGCAAAAGAACTGTCTGACCTTCGACCAAAACTGTTCACACACCCACACACACACATTCAGTGACTTTGTGGTTACATGGCCTAGAAAAATCAAAGACGAGTTATTCCACTCGTGTTATGTGACCTCTAGCCTCAGTATGAATGATTGAACAGAGTCACAGAACCATAGCAGGAACCCTGACTGTCTGACAGATAGAGAAAAACTTAATGACTTTAGGACCTTTAGTCTGGGAATGAGAAGTTAGAAGAAGGAACCTCTTTTTCTTTCTTTCTCTCTCTGCGACTGTGTTCATCGCTTTTTGGTATTGTTTTATCCCTCAGTATGCTGCCCTCGGCCAGTGTGAGTTAAAGTTGTCTTTTGCAGTTTTCTCAGCCAATAACCAATAAACAGGGTGTCAGCTTTTCTGCCTTCATGTGGATTTCTGCAGACTTGCCTCCTCCAGTGTGTTGCTGAGCTGAAAGATCTGTCCTTCTCCTTCCACCTGCCGCACACACAGTTTGCAGCTGATCTCTGTGGTGGCTGAGCTCAGTCTCTCCAGGGTGAAGGTGCAGTGAAGAGTTCTCTGACTGCCACTCCACACCTGGTAGAATGGGATCTCCTAGAAAAAGCACAAATAATATGCATGGTTTCAGACAGGTAACCTGACGGGTCACAGTATCTTCCAACTGTGGCTAGGATTCTGATAAATTATGAACAGCTGCAATACATGGATTTTGATGATTACTTGAGGTGCTTAGCAAGTTGTGCACTTTATTTAGTAACTTTTTTTATTCGTGGGAATTCATCAAAGTGAATAACTGAAAGTATTTTACTCTGGACCAAAGCTTAATGCATAAAACGATAACATGCACTGAGTCATGCTGCTAGGCTTACCATATTTTATCCTTGTTTGGCTAAATATAAGTATTACAATAAACTGTGATATTTGCTCTGTGTGTGTTGTATAGGATACCTTTTAAAATGTCTTTAAGTGTACAGTATATGTATGTGTATGTTCCTCTCACCTGATACTTGGCGATGAGTTTGCTCTTCCAGTGTGTGTGTGGCACATCGTGGATTGACAGTCTCAGATTGTGTGTGCTGTCTTTAAAGTTCAGAGTCTTTGGTTCATCCAGAAGCTTCCCTCCCATCTGGGTCTCCATCTGAAGAACCTCCTACACAAAACCCCACAAAAAAAAAAACAATAACTACTTCAAACTTCCTCCTCAAGTATGGTTTCTATTTAATCCCACTCACTGCACCATTTATTTTTCATACAGCATTAGAGATTGTAGAAAGCCTTTATTTTTTTCTGGCATAATTACTACAGACAATGCCGCCTTGGATGTGGTCTTCAAGTACACAGCACCATGAAACTCTTGAAGCACATGCACGTTTTCATTAAGCTACCATCACAAACATCAGTAGTTCTATTCCCTGGATTTTAACCAAAGCTCAGCTCTGCTAACTGCGCTGAACTAAAGAGAGACATTAAGATGCTCAATAAAAAAACAGATGAATGAATAATGCACCACCAGTCAAAGTACTACTGTTATGAGATGAGGGAAATGAAGCTTATCCTTAATGTAAGAGAGTACAATTAAATTACTTCTATTGGCTTTGGAAGATGACCTCAATGCATCATGTCATTTGTGAAATACTAAACAGAGAAGTAAAATGAATTCTGATTATTTCAGACTTTGCATCCCATTTTTGTCTCTTCCATTACGCCTTCTCTTTCTGCTAGCATGTCACGACAACAATTACTACTTTTCCTTGTGCACCTCTCTTTATAGTTTTAAGGATCCTGTAACTACCGCCTCACTTAAGCTGGATTCATAAAGTAATGCACTGCACTTAATGTGGGTTTTTGCTTTTATTTAGTGTCTCTGATTTCACATAAGGTTAATGTAAAACTGTAAATACTTTCCATTTGATGTCTTTGTCTTTGCTTTTCACTTTGTTATGCTGCAGTTAATAATAATAATACATTGCACACACAGTCCTGTGGGGAATTTTGCTCATCCTTTTCAAACTGACTTCTGTACACCAACTAAGCCCACACCGAGAGATTACTCACTAAGTATGTGTGTCCCTGCAGACACACCAGCATGCAAATGATAAAGACACATATTTATAATATCAATGTATTTATGGGCTGTACACACACTGTACACATGCACTTAAATTAACTAATTAACGACACACAGAAGCTCACGGTTATTTTCTGATGGAAGAATAAGTTATGAGTATGACTTCTGATGCCTCCTACAACCTTTTCAAAATAATCAATTCCTCCTTCCCATCATCTTCCTACGCGGCAGCTCTACAGTAGATATACAGCAGAGACTTCCCCTTTGAAACGCCAACCGATCAATTATACTACAAAAAGTCTCATCATTAAAAAGTCCACCTCTGAACTTTGTTTGCAAGCTACAATTGCTTGTTTGAAATGGTAAAACTGAGTGTGCGTTGATGTTTGTGTGAGCATGTGCATGGCTGTGTGCCACGCTGACACTTGACTTATCACTGCATGCATAAATTACCAATGTTAATCTCCCATATCAGATGGTCCCTCCAGTGCTTTGAATTTGTTTAAATTCTAAAGCATCGTTATTTTGACATTGCTTGACCCTGTTTTGTTTACCGCTTCTGAGCTCATTTCCACAAGACTAGAGGTGGAAAAAAAACCCTTCTATTTATGACTCTAGACAATCACTTCTACTCGAGCAACAATATATTTGATTTCAAATGCAAATTACTGGGGAACAGTTTAAGCATGGGTGGTCCAAGAGAGAACAAAATCCCTCACAGGACTAAAGAACACAACAAAGCACTCAGCCTAAAATATCACACACCTCTTCAGTCACTGTTATTGAAGACATTGGGAAACCAATTGTGCACACTGCAGATATATACTGTACTTTTGTCCATAGTAAGTATGTGTGTATGCACATATAAATAATTTAATGGACATAAAAAGCAACTGAACAACAGAATGCCTTAGTTTCAATACTTCACCTTGAGTGCATCCTGTGTGTCATCCAGACAATAGACTCTAATGTGATAGTCCAAAGTTGTGCAGGAGACGGGTCCAAAAACAGCCAGTTTGAGCCTCTTGGCGGCTGCCTTGCAGACTGACTGGCCCACCAGGCAGTATGTCCCCAGTGTCTCTGTTAAGATGTGACATGCCTCCGAGTCCATCTGCACATAGCAGGGGGTGGTGAAGTTTTCCTCTCCCACTACAACCACATCCTGTAGGAAACATACGCACACACAAAGTCACACACAAAGTCACACACGTTTTCAGACTTCCAGAGTGTGGGATCTGTGATAGGTGTCTGAGACAGGCTTATTGTAAGTTGTCAAATGCTGTCGTTGAATTTATCATGTGAACCTGTAGTCATCGCAACCGAAGAGAGATCTAAGGCTTTATTTAAAACAGACTAACTTCAAAAACAGGTCTTTATTTCCAATGAGTATATTATCACATATTAGTAAGAAGCCTGCCTGTCTTTTGATTCACACTTCCTAGATGTGTTTCACATTAAAACAAAGGGCTTCCTTCCTTTCACGGAAGGCTTTTATTGAGAAACACCTATGGGTGTTATCAACATTAAAGCAGTAACAAGGAACTTTGGTGTGGACTCTAGAGGCCCCTGTGAACAAAAACTGTGGTGTTTCATTTATTTCAAGAGGAATCCGACCAAATCCGACCCAGTAGCAGACGTTAAAATGAATAAATAAAAACTGTCAATATTCCCGATTTTGGTCTCGTCATATTAGTATTACATTTAGACAGTTAGAAATTCCATGTAGTAGGTTTAAGAAAACATTAAAAATGTCAATGTAGAATTAATATGATAACAGTATTTCTGTTTATAAAACTATGACAACAAAGTGTTGAATTTGTTATTGCACTGATAGAGAAAATGTGGAAATGCAGATTATTCTAAATTAACAAAGTGAGCCACAGTCCAGGTTATTTTGTTTTTTTGCCCCTCGCCTTTATTTGGGAACAGCCTTTATTTGTTCGCACAGACTGCTTTTAGTGAGACCTGGATTATTTGAATACCGGCTTTATTTGAGCATTTACGGGCATTAAGCCACATTCTGTCTGTTAACATAACACAACCGGACCTGCGTTTGGAGCCATTTCCACTAATGCAAACAACCCCTGGGCAAGCAGGTTGTGGTTTCTAACTGATGCATTCCTCTGTTGCTACTGTATAAACAGGTCTTTTTCAATGTGATGCCAGTACTGATGTGTGCAGAGCTGTGCTAACTATATAGAAATCATTGTTGAGCAACAGAAAGCCCAACTGTAAATGTTGAGTTTTAATCACTCTAACTTGTAGATCTCTTTAAAAGACAATAAGCAAGCATGGGACTGCTCTTTGTTAAGTCTGGCAATTCATCTTATAAAAACAGTTACTGGATTTTTGGTTCAGCACATTGTGGATTCCTTTGTTCGTGGTGAGACACTGAATTGAAATTTAAATGCATGTCTGGCCGTACATATGTCTTCTGAAAGTAAATCAAGGTGTCCATTAGGAGAATGATAACACTTGTTCAGAGCTGCCATCTGTGAAGTGTGTCCAATCCCACTGTGATTATCTGCTGGCTGTTCCTCATGTTATTTCTACAGCTCTCTGTCGCAGCCTGAGTTATGGTAAATCCATATGGGTGGAGTGAGGATGCACAGGCTCATGGTGTTCTTTTCGTATAAGAATTGAATCTTCAATTAGTTGTGCACGTACCCATGTTTGCACGTGTGCGACTGTGAGTAATCGCGCATGCGTGTCTGTGGATGCAGGCACGGATCTGCTGTTCACGCACACGTGTGATACAAATATTGAGTTTTGAATCACAGTTCACGTGGAGTTGTGTTCCTGCAGATGAGCGAGCCAAATCAATACAAAGAGGTAGGAAAGCAATATGGTATGAATCTGTTATTACTGGTAATCACAACCGTGGCTGCTCCCCCCGATGTGAGGGGAATTCAATTACCTTCCTCTCCCCGTTTTGGGGAAAACTTTCTGATGGGAAATGGATGTTCTACTGCAGTAAGAGAAAAACAAATCGACTTCCTGATGAAATTCCACTTTTCATTTTTCTCTTCTTTACCCACTCTGCACCCAACCCCTTCTGTCTCTCTTTCTCTCTCTCTCTCTCTCACACACACACACACACACACACACACACACACACACACACACACACACACACACAAAGACACACACAGAATCTTATGCATGGCTAATTGTGCAGAGACATTGTGTTGAGCTGTGATAAGCAACAGAAGAGACAGCATACGGGGGCCTTGTAGACACAGTGATGCTGCAAGACAGCCTTATCACCCACACCCACACACAAGGATACACACACACACCCATACAGAAACAGACGTACACGCATACATACGCAGTCGCACACGCACAAAAGCAGATTGCTGAGGTAGAGACTTCACGCTGAGAGACACGGGAGGAGGGAGAGAGAGAAGGGTAGAAAAAAAAGGAGGGATAGAAACATAAGATGAGAGAAGAGGAGGACGGCAGGAGCATAACAAATTGCTTCTGATAGGAGTCTTCAACCCCCTGCTTGTCTTCTAGCCCGTAGGCACTTTATGTTTACCGAATTTTCTCCTCTTTTCTTTCTTTTCCTCTCCCTCCCTCATTGCATGTGTGTATGCAAGGAGCGGCTATTCTTCTGGATGAAAACGATAATGTATGTGTACATGCATGCTTTGTGAGTCATACTGTGTCATGACAGTGTGTTAACGATTTGGCAGCGACTGTGTGCAGGTGCGTGCCTTCTTTATGTTTGGATTATTTATCTGCTGTGTGTGTACATGTTTGTACATCTAGATGTATCTCTAAATTTATGTTCATCGCTATTTGCTGGCAACAAAGTCACAGCTTTTCTCTCTGGAGGTTAAAACAGTGGATTTAGAAAATTGGCAGCTCATTTAAAATAGGACACAAAACAGCGTTGAACACTCACCTCCCACTCTCCCATGGCCAGTTGGTTCTTCAGCTGTATGAGCCAGTCTTCCTGGACATTGTCAGCACAGTGGTGGATGGTGAGGATTACTGGTCTGGTCAGCAGTGCTCCTGGAGGTCCACAACTCACCACTGGGCTCAGCACCGTTTGGATGTCCTCCACTGGGGGTCTGGAAAAGACAGATAAGACAGAGGTGAAATGATTCTTTAGAAAAGAGCAACAGGAGGGCTGCACTGTTGGGTACCTGTTGGTGTGAGCATCAGTTGCAGGAAGCTGTATTGATTCCACTTGTGTTATCTGTGTTATTTTGTCATAATGGTCCCATATGGAAAAACTCAGTTCGCATAATAAGGAGACAGGTGGACAGTTAGGTCCGAGGAAGACAGACTAGCTGAGAGTAGATGAGAAAACCAGGGAACAAAACAGATCAGAGCAGAGCAGCACAAATTCAATCAGAGGATGATTAGTGGAGTCGGCAGGGCTTCATCAGTTAGGCCTCAGCTGGAGTCAGTAGCTCACAGCTCATGGGCAGAAAATAAATGACTGCTAGTCACAGGTTCCCCCGCTTTTACAGTAAATTCTAGGATTGGAACCTCAAGCACTTGCTAACTAATGTATGTTACAGTACAGCAACATAATAATACAGGCTCTTCTACTGTGAAGAAATGTAAGTTTATACATATCAAACCCAATCAATATAGCCTTCTTTCATTATTAAACTGAAAGCTAAAATGGCATTCTTAAAAAATAGTTAAACATGAAAATACTCATGAAAATGTTCGCTGTGCAATCCATTATCCAGTCATTTTATCCCATCACGGTGCTGAAGATATTTACTGACTGAGAAAGAGCCCATATGGATAGAGGAGATGGATCTAAATTTTAAAAGTGATTTTCTTTTACAGCCCACCTTGTGTCAGGGGGGCACTAATCCTTAGCAGTATGATCGATTCAGCTGCTGGAGCTCATTATTGACTCATGAGGGGTTCACATGGGCAGGAGAAGATAAAAAAAAAGAGTAGGAGAGCACCCTTTGACTTACCTAATGTAGAGGTCACCCCTTAATGAATTACAGTGTTATTGTATTTGATATTAATATTATGTATCTTTTATCATACAAATATAGAAAACAGATGCTTTAATTTGTGTATGCGGGAAAACTGACACCTGAGAGTTAGATCTTATAATGAGCTAAACCACATGATTCTGGCTTGCCCAGTGTTGCTGAGGGAAGTCAATGTAGCTATGTGATTTTTGCTAGCCAGCTATCGACTAAGATGAAGACAGAGGACAGAGAAGAGGTTTGGCTCTTAGAAATACTGTAGCACCCTGCAGGGGGCCTAATTCTTATTGACTGCCATTGATCGGGGAAAGGCTAGAATACATGCATGGGGGAGAATACTATAAACTGTAACAAGTGTCCTAAAGCTCTGGTTTTAAAAGAGTTGGTTTACCCAAATTATTAAAGAACAGATTTCCTCACTTGCTCCTTGTGCTATCCAGCTATTTTCTTTTATTTGCCCAGTTTTTGAGATTGCATTTTTCCGTCACCCCTCAATACAATGAAATGATGAACAGAATATAGTTTGTAGTGCTCACAGCATTAAATAAATATATATTTAAAGGCAAGGTGTCCTTCAAAAAACAGTGTCCTTGTTACAGTGCATAATGCACAAACCTTGCTGCAAACTGTTTTTATTGAACTACTTTCCAAAGAAATAACAGGTCAGAGCAGATTGAGTTTTGCTGTACTGTAGGTATTTTGTAATGCCAGGTTACTTTCGAATAGAGCGCTGATAATGTCTCACATTTGCATCAAGGAAATTTTCTAAACAACAGCTGGAATAAATACATTTCTCTCATGTCTCTCATGTCCCACAGAGAGCTTTACCTCACTCATGCACAGGGTTTGGGAGTAAAGGATTATAGTACATGTAACAGGATTACAGTAATCCCAAAAATAACCACTAATCTGTTAGTTACTGTGGAAACAGTGATCTCTTTGCATATGCTGTCAAAAGCCTGGTGTTTGTTTTTTGGATCTATAACATGGCATGAAGACAAAAACAAATGTGTTGGTCACACTGCAGTCAACATTAGTTTCACACATCTTAAAATAATGGCCGTTATGAGCTCTACATTTGGGTAACAGCACTGTGGCCAAAATTTGGAAAACATCAATTAGCTATGTAAATTCTGTGGATTACTGTACAGATTACAATGTTAAGTAGGTAATAATGAATGTGTAAAATGTTTATTATCAACTCCTCAACTTCAACTACTAAGGACTTTTTTTCTGCCACTAATATAGAACATGTGAGGTATTAACTGACCTCTGCTGAATGAATCACTCAGAAGGTGTGCATAGATATACTATAAATAATAATGACTCATCCCTTGCTGTGTATCCTAAGCCCATGTCATACTGTGAAAGCCTCCCCACGCAACCATACAAACAGGTCTGAGAAGCCGCTGCCCAGGAGAAAGTCGGAGAAGCACAGGCAAAGAAAAACAAAGAAAGAAAAAGAACACAGGGAGATGGAGAGATGAAGAGAAAAATGGGGACAATAGGGAACAACACACAGAGAAAAAAAGCCAGAAAGAAACAGACAAAACTTACCTCAAGCTGTCCTTCCTGTGCACAGTCACATACATCTCGTACACCCTACCCTGAGGAACAGCACCCGCTGGAACCAACAAACTCACGCCTGCAGGAGGGAGGACAGAGGGAGGCAGAATGGATGGAGGCAGAAATAATGAGATTCATCAGTGGATTATTAATTTCACCATGTACAACTGAATTATTAAGTGTGCAACCCATTATCACTTTATCATTATGATTAATTATTGAATAATCATTTTTAAAGGCAACCCATGTAAAACTTTCTCTTAAATATATCATCAAGTGAATTGTGCTGCAATGTTTTATAGCTTCTGAGAGCTGCTTCCTATCAGCAGGTTACATTATTCATTATTTTTTTCTGCCCACTGCTTTTAAATCCTAACATAAGTCTACTGAAAGTTTTTTGCTTTTAAACTAGGTAGCTGGAGGAGATCCCAAGGCTGTCTCCTGTAGTATGTTGACTGCGCAGCAGTATCTAGATACACTTACTTTATGTGGTTTTCAGTACAGGAAATGTATTTTATCTTGTTCAAATCTATAATACTTTTTAGTGAGTATTAACTTTGATGAGATTCTTACTATTTATAGCAGTTAATGTAATGTAATGTATTATAAATTGTTAATGTTTATGTAAAAAAAAAAGGTTAATTAATTTGTTTATTTAATGATCACAGCATTTTTTTAAAATCACATCAAAAGCCTTGTGTGATCAACCCAATATGGAGGAGCTATATACTGTCGCTAACCCTAACCCTAAAGCATGAAAGCAATCACCTATCTGAACACAGTAAAAAAATAAATTATATAGCTGCATTAGTAACAGTAACCAGATTTATTATTAGCTGTTAAGTGTGTGTAAGAAAGTTTACCAGAGTTGGGTACAATGAGGTGTCCTCCCTGGTTGTTGAAGGATCCATGAGCAGTACAGGAAGGGTCCCGTGTTCGGGCCAAGCTCTGGTTGCGAAGGTTCATGGTGTCGCTGTTATCCAACAGAGACTGAGTTACCTAGGGATGAAAAGACAGCAGTCAGAATGATAATAATAAGAAAGTTAGAATTATAGGTAATCACATAACACATGCTGTACCAGACAGTACTGGCTGTGAAGCTGTTCAGCAGAAACTGGATCAACTGAAAGTCTGAATTGAAGTATTTGGTGAATGAATCATCACAAATCTATGTCTAGTTTGGCTGTGCAATGCAGTTATCGATGCATTCACCTTTAAAATTCACATTTTTTTTGCATTTATGCTATTGCACATAAGATACAAGTTGAATGGATTTATGACGATCATGGCAAACACTATTAAAAAGTTTTCTTTTGAGAGGTTAGTGAAGATGAGCTCTATAATTTCCTTACCATTGTAGTCAACAGTTTTCACTGTTATGTAAGTGTGGTGAGTTACATTGCTATTAGTCCAATTGTGTACTGTACCATTATGCATAAGCTGCATGCATGCTCTATGTGGGCTGAAAGAAGTGAACATATGGATATGCAGAAAATCAATGTGCTGTGATTTCGAGGACGATCTTCTCTAAAAGAGCTGATGTCAAGTACTGTAAAATGTATTCTAATGAAATCCAATCAAGTTCACAGACATTTCACTGTGCAAGGCCAGTCTCTGCTTGTATGGATCATTGTAGTTTTATTCTTGCCTGGCTGATTAGAGCGAACTTTTAATGTTCCCTTTTCCACAGGAATTTGACTGCACTCATCAACATGGTTATTGTTTTCCTTATGTTTTCCTGGTAACCATTAACTAAAATGCTACAGGGAAACTCCACATCTGCCTGGGAGCGCTGCCATAGGGCTGAGCTGGCAGTCTGTGAGAAGAGGGCGTTTTTACAGTAGACCTATGAAACCACCTTAGGGTAAGTGGTAAAATATGACCTGCTTTGCATTTCCTTGTCGAAATGTCCACTGTGAGATGCAAAATAAGGACTTAACATTCAGCAGTTTACTCCTGCATCACGCAAAGCTGACAAGAACTGGCTTCAATGTGTTAAAAACAGACAGCACACTGGAAACACAAACAGAAAAGATCCTGAAATTAGCGAGGCAAGGTCAGTTATTAGACACAGTGGAGGTTCAAAAGGCCACACTTAAAAAACACCCCTAATAACAGACCAAATCATCAAAAAAAGATCTGTGGAGCTCAGAGATAGAGAGTTCAGTTCTCGTAGTGCCTCAGGACAGGTGCCGTGATGAAACCGAGCGGTTTCATCTGTATTTGTGACAACTGACTCTGGTATGCATGCCATGTAGTTGACAGAGCAGAGGGAGGAAACTGGGGCACTGAGCTGCATGTATACTAATGGTGTTTGGTTTTGTATTTATGTGACTGGGAATACATAGCTGTGGTGTTTCAGGGCTACTCACTATGCTTCTGCAGTGTAACTTCACTTCAGGAGGAAATATTTCAAAATCCTACTGTGCTCATACAGAATATTTTACAGCATAAGCCAAATCATAAAAGTGAATCAAAGATACTGACATTAGACCAAGCGGTGCATTCATTTATGTTACCTTAGGAGACAGTTTGGATGTGAAGTCTCCACCAAGGTCATCCTGTGGTGTGACCAGACCGGAGGAGTTGTAGACTTTGATCTTCAGGTTGGGAAGAGGGTCCAGGAGAGGAGAGTTGGTCATTGGGATTTTATCTGAAACATCGTGGAGGGCATAGACCGGGCCACGATACATGGCAGCTGCATTTGTCAAGTCAGGTGGAGCTGTCAGTAGATCAGCTAGAGGGATAAAATGAAACAGACAAAGAGAAGGAGCAGATGAAGGGAAGACAAAATAGCACTGGTGAAGACGGAGAGGGCAAATGAACGGTAATGCAAGATACTTTATATCCTCAACAGTATAATCAGCAACACATGGCTGCGGTATGGGACAAATGTTGGGAACTTGTAGATCAGTGAGCAGGAGTAAGGGGAGTAAGACGAGAGCAGGCAAGGCTGCTGATAAGGTATCAGTGTCTGGTATGATACATTGCAGTACACAGGGGCATGACCTGGATCAAGGACTGGTCATGACTGCTGTACAGAGCGAGCGAGCGAGCAAGCGAGAGAGAGAGGAATTCTTAGACCTTGAATAAGTTTAATAGATCATACTTAAATCTGTATTTATCAAAACAAATTCAGTCATTTAAAAGCTGACCTTACTTTATACTGTATAATAACAGAACAGCAAAGCTTCGAGGTGTCCTTTAAGCTGTTCTCAGACTCTGATTTCACCCACACAATCAGAGGAGCTATCACCCTTAAATCACATCACTGTATTTAAAATGCTTACTATGTCACAATTCAAAACGGACTGAAAGAACCAGCAGCGCACATTTACCACAAAATATCCCAATGTTAATTGACAATGACAATTGTTAGGGCTGATCTATTGGAGTTCAGTTAAGAGAAACTGTTGTATGTTCTGTGTTCCAAAAGCAGTCATTCAACCTCATCATCCGATATATCATGGTGTATATCACAATGTAAATTTGTAGTTTATTTTAATATGACAAGCAAGACAATATACATATTGTACATGCACGATATTCAAGCAAACCTTAAAATCAATACGTAAACTTTTCTCAGCCTAGTCAAAATTTACATTCTCATTTTATTATTAAAATCTTGCGAGATTATGTAATTTTTGCCAAACAGCAGCCACTGTGGCTACATGTGGCAATTACAGGACCATGGCACATTGAGATTCTCTCGAGTCAGCTGCTTAAAAGACATCATCATGTCTATCTGTGACATGCTAAAATGTTGTGTAACAGGAGCACGAGCATTCAAAGGACTTGAAGTCAGTGAATTCACTCTACACTGTTCTTTCTCAGGTGGTCACAGTTGATACTAATGTTACACTTTTCATGTATTGCAGGAAACACTCAAGCACCCCACTTACACACACATACATACAAGCACTGCCGAATAAAAACATGTATAAAACACATCTGCATGTAAAAGACAGCATGCAAACACGTGTCTTGCATACCAAGACGTACACTATACTGTACACACTCATACCCACACAAACCAAGAACACACATGCCAAATGCCGCATATGGAAATTGCATGATGCCAGTGGGGATGGATAGGTAAGTCTCTCGGAGATTTCCTTCTGTGCTTATTGCAGAAAACGTTAGTGTAAGCCTGGGGGCAACTGCAGGAACATTATGACTGTTAGTATGTACAGTATGTTGATTTTAGTTATAAAATGCAACTACATCCTTCTACATACATTCATTGGAACTCCTAACCTTGCTGAATTTAATACAGTATTATTATTATTATGATAAATATTGATCTTTTGCAGGAAATTGACAGATTTTTGCAATCAGGAAACCTTTTGCGATGAAATTATTAGTAACACTTGACTTCAGTGTGTTCTATCTGCCAGAATGCTAGCTACACTTCCTTCTAGGTAGTTGGAAAGATGCTGCAGCCAAGTGCAACTCATTGTAAAAACAATACAGTAATTTCCTACATGGAGATTTACTTTACCAAAGTTAATCAAGGGAATGTGCTCCAAGCAACCCCACAAGACGACAAGCACAGTCACTCTTGAAGGTAATTTTGTTCTTGCTACAACCCTATTCAGTTTAACAGAACTTAATCTAAGGCCAGACCAATGTGTACTGTACCTCTACATAAAAAACTCTCTCGCAAGATTAAATCTGGATTGGAATCACAGGAAGACCAGTTACCTACTGAGAACAATTCCAGATTTGTTCTGGCTCTATATTTTGGGGCGTAGAGCCTGAAATCCAGTCATTCCCTTCCCAAGCCCATCCATTCTAATTTCAGAATCCCTAATTATCGCCCCCCCAAAACCACCAACACACACACACACACACACACACATCTGTCACCTATCACTCTTCCTCTCTCTATCACCAGGCTGTTTACCCTTAAAGCCAGCGGGTATTCCTGCCAAATCATCCCTGCTGAAATTTAATTAACAACTAACGGAAAGCCACAGAGAGAGAGAGAGAGAGAGAGAGAGAGAGAGAGAGAGAGAGAGCGCAAGAGTGAGAGAGAGAGGGCAAAAGAGACAGCGTGCAAGAGAGAGAGAGCGGGAGAGAGAGGGCATGGGGTGCTGGGGAGAGAGAAAGTCAGATAGAGAGGGACATAATTCTTCATTAATAGTAATCGGAGATGGTCCCTCAGCGCAGAGTGACAAGCATCCTAATGCTTTGCTGATAAAATGTCACCCAATCTCTGCTCATGCAAAGGCATTCACCCTTGTACACACATGGACACGCACATGCATGCACATACACAATTATTTTAGCTCGCTGTTTACCAATTTGCATCTTTTCTGACCTCACTTTCCTGTTTTTACTATAAACCATGATCTGAATTTTGATCGTCCACCGACAACTGACCACACATATAGCCAACTATTTACATATCCTGTTATTAGTTATTTGAAGGTGTAAATAATTGTAGTTTGCAGGTTCTCTCTATTAGAGAAACACAAATCCTGTTGTAAATGTAACCCCTTTCTAAAATGCCATTTCTTGTTGTCCAAATGGAGACCATCAAGTACTATTAAGTATGTTGAGTACCAGCACTGGTTTTGTCATCAACTATTTTAAGCCATCTAATTTGCAATATTTAATCCAAATCTGTGGGAGTGTATGAGTGCATGTTGGTTTGCGAATGTGCCTACTGCCTACATGGATGCATTTGTGATGTGTTTGACAAACAAAGATTCCTAAAGGAAAAGTCATGGTATCTCAAAGTTCATGGTATCTGAGGACTGATACCTGATTCATCCACATCGCCTGTCCAATCTTGGCATTTCCACTAAGCTATCGAATGCATTCACACGGGTGTACAAGTGTGTGTGGCCGAGTGCTTCTTGTTGTCTTATCCATTTCCCAAAGACAGACAGACAGAAGAGAGTGAAAGATGGCTCCACTTTAACAGGAAGACAAACAGTGAGGGAGCGCCGGTTGGGGTAGGAGTCATTGTGACGGGACAGCCGGAGACACGCCGAGGGAAAGACAGAGATGCGGAGACAGAGATGAAGAGAGGAGGAGGATGCTGATAAACAGGAAAAGAGATTGACTTGAATGTGCAGATGGGAAGTGAGAGAAAGAAAGAGTGAGACAGAGAAGAAGAATGACAGAGGGAGACTCCTTGATGGAAGAGAGTGGTCTCTGGTGGAGACAGAGATGAATCCAGACGGGTACAGATTGACAGGTGGAGGCTGAGTAACTAAATGATACTAACATCCAAACCTCAAGGCAGACAGAGCATGTACAGTTATATCCAAAAAGGTGTGGTCACATTTCTTATTCTGTAACCACCCATTAATCTATATATCTGTTCATCTACCTATTTATTATTATTATTATTATTATTATTATTATTATTATTATTACCACCTATCATTGTGCACATTATGTAATGCCAATATTTGAGAGAGACATATAATCTGTAGTCCTCTTTTTGAGAGAGTGTAAGAAAGAAGCAGACACTTGCTGTCAAGTTCCCCCTTAACAAGTACTCTTCAGAAAAAAAGTCTGTGTCAGTCCTGGGATTGCTGTTTTGGCTAAAGCATATGAAGTGCTAAATGACAAACCCCCTTTCTCACTGCCATATCCAATGACAAAACACCATTTAATAGGAGGATGAGTTGAAAAGCAAGTCATTACATGTACCATACTTTTTTCAGTTTAACTGGGTGGCTTTTGTCTTATACTTGTACATCCTACAATGCCATTGTACGTTGGAAATAAAGTAGCTTTAACAGTCACACTATTAAACTACTGTAACTTTTTGCTTTAACCTTTTTTCAGCACAAATATATAACTTAAAACTAACACACCACTTGAAAATCCTCCAGTGCTTTAACATATCACCTTTCTGCAGTGATGTACATGTGCACTCCAGGAAACAGTGCGATAGCTGTTGGGTGTGGTTACAGGTGCAACAGGCTTGAAACTATCAACCAGAGAGGGCAGTGAAACACTGCTTTACCCCCTCCATTAAAAAATTTGTTTTTCTTGTTTGACCTTCACTGTGCAAAATGACATGTGCAGCATTTGACACTAGAAGGATGTTTTCACATTCATCTACTGAAAGTGGAAAGTTTCTCTGTGCTCATTGAAAATCTGATATTAACAGGCGGAGTCTACAAGCATGATTGGTGAAGTTTGGTTTGGAAGTCTCTCCTGGCCCTATTTGCAACTTATAAAAGTGTGGTGTAGAAACGTAAAGCCACCAGTGCACGTACACAGAGAATGGACTTTACAGTTAAGTAGGAGACATCTTGTGTACAGCAGGAAAACTTTAGAAATGAACAAACTTTGCATATTCATACATTTTCTAATTAGTTAGAAGGAGTATATGCGTCTTTAAGAATCAAATTATACTATTGTTTTTGCAGAAAAAACATATAAGAAACACATTATTGTTCCAAGCAAAGTATTTGTATATGAGATAATACATGTCTAGAAGAAATGTAATTTTCTGGAACATTCCTTACCTGATCTGGCTGTTTTGATATTAACAGACTGGAAGCCTCCATTTAGTGCTGAGGTGTCAATGATGTCCGAGTCAAAGTCACGGTGCGTCTTGCGGTAGACAAAGAGCGCCACGATGACAGAGATGACCAGGCACATAATCACTGCGATGACGATGCCCACGTACAGCGCCACATCATCTGTACTTGGAGCAGCTGGAGGGGACACAAAAACAGGAGGGACACAATTATAGACCGACAGATACTATTAAGGAAGTAGGTCCAAAAGCTCTTCCTACGAGGAAATATATACTATCAGAAAAAAAGCAGCAATAAACAGCTACAAAAATTATAATCCTTATTGAACAGCAGGGCAGAGGCAGAGAATAAATCTATATTATTTTAGGTAAGACAGGATGAAATAGCAGGCTTCAAATTAAATTAATATGACTCTATGTCATTCTTAATTTGTATTTGACGATTTCACTTCACTTCTACCTCAGACCACCTATCAGACTCAAAGGACACTTGACTATAGGTTCCATTTCAAATGAAACTTCCAAATAACCCTCCAGCTTGTGTAATATGATAATTTGTCTAGACTGAGATAGAGAAAGACAGAGACACCTTTCATAAAAAAAAGAAAGGCACCAACTCTTAAAACTTAATAAGCCTGTTAATTATTTTACAAGGGTCCTAACATCCTTTTCCAATCTGGCTGAGACTTTAATGGTGTTTCAGTGAGAACAACGGTGGGATTGTCATTCATGATCCATATTTTAAAGCGAAGGAAGGGACTAAGAAAAATTTAACCGATGGGTGATGTGGACAGTAAAAAGGCATGAGCCACATTGAAGAAATGAAGAAAGGAAGAGAGGAGACAAGTTCAGAATGCAGGGGAGGAATGATGAGGAAGTAATAGGGAGGAAAGTCAATAAGTGGAGAGGAACATAGAAAAGAGGACACACAAGCGGGTAACGAAGAGAAAAGAATGGAGAGGAAAGGAAGAGATAGGTTGGGAGATAAGATGAGAGGAGAATAGGGAGGAAAGGGGAGTGAAATATAGAGAATAAAAGAAGCTTATAAAAAAGAAATAGGAAGCAGGGAAGATGAGAGGAAACAAGTAGGGCACAATAAATCAGGAGAGGAATGAAGAAAGAGGAAAGAAGTGATAACAGCAAAGAAGAGGAAAACAGGGCAAAATAAAAGGAAATGCACTTGAACTTCAAAGCAGCTAAACAAAAAAAGTCTACATATTTAACATGAAAGTGCCTGTGAAACTTTTTTGGAATAGTCTCACACTTAAAGTACTCCTTGTATAATCGTGTCCTCTGTAGCTAGTAGGAGGGGATTTGTCTGCAGCTATTAAGAAGAAGACAGAAAAGTATAGGAATGCTCCTTTTAATCCGCCCTTAAAGTTGAGAGGCAGATAACAGGCTTTTAGCTACAAACAGCCTGAGTCATTTGCTAAAGGATTTGCTGTTGTCACATCAGAAGTTCAGAAAGCATGAACTTGATTATGCATGAAAGAATCCTATGATGAGGCACACAAACATTCACGCTCACATATGCCCAAGCATGATTCACACATACACACGTTCACAGAAGAGAGGTCACTCATGATGGTGTTAGCTCATTTACCACTTGAGGGAGCTATGCGCCATTTTCTAGTGTCTCTGGGGGAGCCGAGCGCATGAGGGTAAAGCATGTCTCTCATAATTAAGTCTCAGACTGGTTGAACCAAATGTCTCTGGACACTTTGTCCAAGGAAATGATGCTTAGTGTACGGTCCTTGTGACACAGTATTCTGTTAAATAACCACAATTTTTAACAAATGTCTGCAAGTGCAAATATGTGCACAATAAACACAAACACGTTTAATACGATTCATCACAAATAAGAGTTGTTAGTTCCAGTCCTAAACTAAACTGCTGTCCAACAGAGTTGTCTTACTGCTGATCTCTAGTTTAACTTTGAATGTGTGAAAATGTCATCGCCAGTGTGTCATAAATCAGATGGTGGCGGAGGAAATTAAACATTCATATAATGTTTTACAAACCCCTCACCTCAAATAGCTGCCAAATATCTGTTCATCACATTTAACTTAAACTAAGAGACCACCTTTAAATCTCCAAAGTTTAACCCCTAAGGGTTTTGTCAAATGTAGTTACCAATTTCCTTTTGATGATGTTGAAAGGATTGCGGTAAAATCCCTAGTGCCCTGACTTCACTGCTGCACAAAGTTGCCCTGTTATCAAGGTCCTTGCACTTGCCAAGGGGGAATAGAATTGAATAATCCTCTTAAGTACAAACTCCCTGATCTTAATTATGATCATCATCATCCTCATCTATTTAGGGAATTTTTATCTTGTTTCTACTTTAACTTGAAGGTCTATAACTTCAGAAAAGTGGGATGCTAGGCAGTCTTAAAGAAACATCACTTCTAAACTTGCTTTTTCCAATCCTATTTTGCTATCAAGAGTTCTGGGACACTTTGGGATAAGTTAACTAGGCTATGGTCTGTTGTGTTCTCGATATATATGTGCGTATGTGTGTACGGAGGGTAACGTGATTTATACCAGTGGGCTTAAACATCCTTTCTTCATTGTCTATCAGTTTATATCCCATCTCTCTCAGATCTTTTTCTCCCTCCATAACTCTCACCTCCATCTCTTCCATCTCTGACTCCCTCTGTTTCTCTGGCTCCATCTGTGTGATTTGTAGATGAATGAAACAACGGGTCCCATTAGAGCTTCTACCTGCCTGAGTAACCTACATATGACGGCAGGATACCAAATATTGTCTTTTTTTCCCCTATCATTTTTCTATTATCTGCCTTTTTCTGCCCTAATTTTCCATTTTCACTTTTCACCTTACAAGTAAACATCAGTTTATGGTTTCTGGTAAATCAGTGGTTATGCTTCTGAGAATCATACTAAAATGATTGGTTTCAAGGAAATGGATGGAATTCATTTATAATTAGAAACAAAACCTATATAAAAGTGAGATGAAGGATCAAAATTATTATTCTTTAAAACAGATAAATCATCCAAAAGTTCTAAGTTGTGTGAACATACAGTAAGATTTCCTTGATCGATTTACATCTAAATTGAGCTTACCGCTCAGTAACATTTTTTTGAAATGGACAAAAAAGAAAAGAAAATGTCACTAATTTACAGTAGCTTTTCTACAACACTCAAGTGCTGCTGCTTTGGTTGAAAATTGCCTATTCTTTAATTCTGATGTTCTTTTATTGTCTGACAGCCTTGCATAATAGGCTGTCTTTCTCTGACAAGATGGGGGCTGAAAAAGGGACTGAACGTGGGTGTGCACTTTTGACCAAACCCAGATGAATGAATAATGTGTTTGGACCTCTGTGTGTATCTAAGCGTGGCCCGAGGCTGTGCTCTGTGAAGCCAGAATGACAAAATTGGCAGTGATAGAATGAGGAAGGCGCACAGTCTGACTAAGTACTGATAGGTACACACCTATGTTCATTTTTATGAGCACTCATGCGAGCACTGACACTCACAATGAATGCACAGGCAGACATGCACACATCCGTATTAACTTTTATCCACAAGTCAACTATCTCCTGTGCTTTTCCTCCTTTGTACCTGACAGGGAGTTTTCATGTCCAAAGCACTCACCCGCAAGCCTGGCTAAATTGGATTTAGATTAAAAATATGTGCTTTTCAGTGGACACATCAGAAAGGAATTGAATAAACGATACATCTGTGATGTTCCAGCAAGTACTATCTGACAGCTCTCTATAGGAGGGAGAATGTTCTGTTGTAAAGGTCAGGACACGGACACACACACACACACACACACACACACACACACACACTATAACATATACACAAACGTGTGAACAAGTGCAGAAAGAACAAAGACGCATGCTTCTCGAAAGAACTTGAGAATGATTGTATTGATCCATCAGAGTTCGATTTAGACAATTCGCAGACAGCTGACATGGGAGACAGGTGTGTGTGTGTATGTATGAGAGACTGCCCTTTGAAGAAAATCCTTGCTCCCATAGGCAACTGTCTATCATAGTTTCTACAACAACTCAGGTGAGATACACTGCTGACAGTCTCCTTTTTTCACTTGATATCTGAATGCCAGCATCTTTGGCAATACTTTTTTTTTGCGTGTTTCCAACAGCTTACATTCTTGTATGTGTATGAGTTTGAATGCTTGTGTGTGCATGTACTACCGGCCAAGACACTGTTGGTATTAACATCAGTGCCCAAGGAAATCAAAAACTAACTTCTTTTAGACTTTTTGACAGACTGAGATTATAAGCTAAAAAATGTTGTAAATAGATTTTTGATCCATGATGGTGAATAGTGCCCCGGGGCGAGTAGCAAATGTATTTTTGACAACGTACCAGCTTTCCTTCTTTTCATGGCAAGAATAAATTGCAATTTGTCATAGTTTTGCACAACAGTGTTACCTTCTCTAGAGCATATTTGGTTGTAAAACCAAAATTATTTTGCCAGTGTTTACTGTTCACATGCCAAATTCAGTTTGTTTGCAGTGTACAGTCTGAGCGAGTGATTTGGCTAGTGGGCATATGTGTGTGTACTGACTGATGTTGTTCCTTACTGTGTCCAATAATAATAATAATAATAATAATAATAATAATAAAAAAAAAAAAAATAATAATAATAATAATAATAATAATAATAATAATAATAATAATAATAATAATAAGCATTAGAATTGGCAAAACTTCTAAAAATATATCTAATATCTAATAAAAAAAATATAAATCTGTGAATTTGGTTACCAACTGTATTGATAATGTGTGTGCCAATGTGTGTGGCCTAATAAACATTTGGGTGCTCAGGAAATTGCAGAAGTTAGACGCACACACTCGCACACCGCAGTTGATTACACACATGGGCTAGTGGAACAGAAGCCCCAGCTCACCCTCAGTCAGCATGGATCGCTGTCTATTGATTGGCTGAGCTTTTTGTCATTCTCAGAGTCTGTCCAATCTGCCATGGAGAGGATTTAAAGAGGGGAGGGGGGGACAAGGATAACTCAGCTTAGCTCGTCTCTATCTTCTCTGTGATCTGCATCCAAAGCAGAGCTGTGGACAATCACTACTTGAAACTCATTCAACTGCCTTTTTGATCTCGCTTGGCACAAACATGCAAACACCACCCATACTACACTCTTGGCAGACATATCCGCTCTAAGTAACTGGCAGGGATGAACGGAAGAGAGACAGTCGGAGAGAGAAAGCAGGCAGTCGTTTGTAAATCTGCCGATCCTTATTTCCTATAGTGGGGATGGGAAAAAAAGAAAATTGGTTGTGGGTGCCAAGAAATAAAATATGGAGCCACATTGGAGTCACTAAAGCCAGAAGGTGTATTTCAGGAGTACAAACAACTCTTTATATAAAGTCATTAGATCTCATACATTGTGTAACAACCCTGTAATGTAGTGCGAATGTAGCTATTTAATCAATGGACTGAATACAAACCTTTCAGTGCAACTTGTTTTATCCAGCTGAAAGGAACATTATGACCTCCTTCAGTGTCTGCTGGGCACAAATATGAATCACAAAGTACTGGCAGAAGCCTTCTCCCTCCACACAAATCTACAGCTCAGCCACCTCCCACCCTTCTCATCGCCTCAAGCTAAGCTGGCCTGTAATTGACACAAACATCTGTGTCACATTCTCGAAAAAGAGACAGGTTCTCAAAAAAGAGACCGGTAAGTTAAAAAGTTTGAGTAAAAATGCAAAATAAAGCAGTGCAATTTAACAACTGCTCTGTTATTTATTTGGCTTGAAGATAACTGTTTCATACATACTCATACATATTCATAATAACCTGTGACAATTGGTAAACCATCAATTTATCCCCACTTTGTCACGAAGCATACAACAGTGACTACAATGTGATTATAATGATCTACTCTGGGTGTGAATGACCCACAGACCTTGTTGTGGTCAAGCATTCATCTATATCAGTAAATTAACAATTCATTTCCAACCAGAGTTGGTGATTGTTGGCAGAATGTAAAGACTAACAAAGACTGTTTTGGTTAGTTTTATTTTGTTTCTGTCCACTTTTAATTAAGTTACAATGATATGCAAGGAAAAATTAGCTACCGTTTCTGTCTGTGGAGTCTTGTGGCGGATGATAGGGATATTATAGTTGTTTCTGGTTCAACAAAACGTCTATCTCCGTTCCTTTCCATAATGTTGTCAGACACAATAACAATCTGAGCCACAAAAGAGCACTTTTTAGTGGACGTACTTTGAAAGGTGCAGTTAGCTTACGTTGCACCCATTGCAACCTTTTTCAGGAACACATCTTTAAGGGTTCAAAACTAAACCAGCATTCGTAATCATTAATGGTTAGTTTTATTTTGTTTCTGTCCCATTGTTTTGGTCTGAGATGCTGGTGCTCTAGTCCAGTGCATCCAGTGGCAAGTGAATTTCATATTACCTTCAAAAGTAAGTTGTTTTCCCAACAGAGATGTTTCAGAAACAGAAATCTCTGCACTTGTATATAACAATTACGTCACTGGTATGGACCAAATACCATATGATACCATATACCAAATACCTGCAGATACAGTACGGCCATGGCTCTGCATAGAGCAGTACACATTTTCCATATTGCTTCTTTAACAGACAACTGTGGATGCAGAATCTGATTTTACAGCTATTGGATGTCGAACCAGATATGCAGGTGGTTATAAATGCATTTGTGATCTAACTTAAGGCCCTGATATTCTCCAAAATGGAGAAGGATATTGACATGGACAGCAGACACCTCACGTTTTGTTTATACCACACTGGGCGTCTGCATAGGACGGGTTCAAACATGTTCGGGCTGCATGTATGGCCAATGTTGCAATATACAGGAAGAATCAGGCAAAGCATCAAAATAAACCTCACAAATCAAATGACATGACATTTATATCTGTACTCATACTCTAAAACAAAACAGGACCAGTTGGTGATTAGTGAGTCTCAAAGCTACTCATACAACCTCCCAATGCTCATGTTACTGACTGTATTTTTGAATATTAAAACCAGAGTGACGATCTGTTAAATGAGCAATAACTGCCTCTATCTCATCTCTAGTTCTCTCTCTATCTGTGTCTATCTTGGAGTAGTCATCTCACACAACACACCGGGATGATGAAACTGCTTCAGCAGACCTTAAACGAGAGTCATTAGAACACATCACAGGCGCTTCATAGATTGCTTTGAAGATAAAACGAGAGCTTCTGCAATGAGAAAAGTAAAAAGCGCGCTAATAATAAATGGCAGAGGTCCTTTCCCTCTTGCACCTCTCAATGTCTGTATTTCTCACAGTTTGTAGTAAATCTCTCTTATTATATCACTTTGAGAAATCAACAGTAACAGTGACACAGATGGAAAGAAAGAGAGAAAGACAGGGAGAATTTGGGGGAAGAGGGCATGGTAGGAAGAAAGGAAGATAGCAAGTACAGCTGAATATATTTCTTACACCCTATTATCATCCCTCACCCTTTTTATTACTCATTAGGCAACTTTCATACCTGCCAAAGAAGTTCCCAGGTGATCTTTTGCAGTCCTATTAATTTTTCTCTTCTAGAAATGGTGCATTAGAAAGGGGCTGATTTGACTTATCAATCATTCAATTGCATGATACTTCAAAGAGAATGGGTTCAAATCAGTAGAACCGAACAAAAACTTCACCAGCTCAGTGTCCATAGTTGGGCCGTGCTTCCACTGAGTTCTAAGTGAACCAATATGCTTGTAAACACAAAGCAAGTGTTCAGAACTAAGGCAAATTGCCTACTTTGGCAATGATCCAAAGCTGGCTGGCTACTCTCCAAAATGACCACAGATGCAACAAACTCACAAATTGAGAATCAAGTGAACTGGTGCTGAATCGATTCCCTGCTATCAGACAGGAAGAAAGAAAGAATCAAGTTAATTAAAAGAATCTGTCACCACTATTGTACATTCATTTTCCAGACACAACTCTGGCATCCTGCACAGCATTTTAAATAGTGGAAGATGTTTTAGTAAAACAAAACAAATAAAATCGAAAGATACATAAAGAAATAAAAATAAAATATTATTCTGCTTCTAGGTAGAGCCTGTAAAGTTGAGTTTAATGATTTTTTGTATGATGTCATGTCTTACGAAATGTAACTGGCATTCTTGTCTTTCTGTTTTCCACAGTGTAAGTAAAAGGAAAATGTACTAAAATTAAAGTGGTAAAACATTGTTAGAGTTGTTCACTTGTAGTTTGAAGGAGGGAAACCCAATATTTGCAAAGATAGCTAGATATATCTAGATTTATAGTGTAGTGTTAACACCTTAAAATATGCCCAAATATGCAACAATAATTGATATTTCCCACGCTCGAAATAAGCATGCCTTAAAATTACTTATGTGTCAGTGTGACTACTAAAGTCCATTGTGTGAAAAGTCCAAATCACTTTGAGATGTGCCTTAAAATGGGTTGGTGCGATGTCGTGCCAGGCACAAATGTCTGGCCAGTTGTCACTTGACTTTGCATTAGTGTCATCTTGAGTCCTGGCAGGACCTGCTTTGTGAGCCAGGGGTTAATGTGAACAGCGGAATCAAGAAAGGCTTAATTTCTCAATGAAAGATGCAAAACTGTTGATCATCACGCTCATCACACTACAATAGAAACATTCTCCTTAAGGGTGCACTATGTAAGAATTGGCAGATTTTGGGCACCTGTTGAATTCATACTTCAAACAAGCAGCATCTCACAGAGAAACCACTAACTGCTGCTAACTGTAGCTGTCATTAACTAGTTGCTCAGTTAGTTGTGCTGGAGACGGAGGTCAGTTTGACAACAGGGAATACAGTACAGAGGTGATATACAGTGGCTCTGAACATGATTCTGACCCCGGGGATGAAAAAGGCACGGTGGGATCAGGTGGGGACTAGAGAGGCGTGAAGCAGGAAAGGAGTGAGAGGGAGGATGGGCATCAGAGAGGATGTGGGGGAAAACAAGTGTGAAGACCCAGAAACAGTTCACATCTAACTCAGTCAATTAAGGGTTTATTTCGGTGGAAAGACTAACCAATTTATATATTCAATATTTGTTTGAATGAAGTGTGTTTTACAATGAGTTAACAATGCAATTAAGTTAAGCTGGTTTTAGTTCAGAAAAAGAAAGAAACTTGAATTCAGAAGGTGTATTGCCTCTTAAGATACAAAGTAGTATTACGAGACAGCACGGACTGCATGCTAACTGAAGTAGATATCTCTGCAACAATATGGAAAGACGTCTTTGACATAACATTATTTCTTTATACTCTGTTGATAATTTTGGCTCATTTTTGAATGTTTTGAATTAATATTCGTATGTATTGCGGCTAAGAATATTACACCAAAGTCATTGCGTTATACAAGCAAATATGTAAACGATTCATCTATCCTGACTTCCTTTGTCTGAAAACAGAATAAAATTTTAGAACTAGCTCTGTTTGCTTTTGTTTGATCAGCACAGCAAAACGATTGCACCATCAAGGGAACAGATCATAAGATGAGAGCAAAACTCTTATCAAGTAACTCAAAATGACATCTAATAATAACATGTTTTAGTATGAGCCAAATGTCAGTGCTCAATCAAAGAAACACTAAGATGAGTAAGACAAAAGGAAAATGGACGATGATAAAACATAAAACATCAACTTACATGGGATTCCCAAATCATTCTTTTCTTTGGGCTCAGTAGACTTCTGAAAAAATGAACCTTGGGACAGGAAAAGAAGGGATGGTGGAATGGATGGAGGAAGGGAGAGGAACACAACAATCAAAATCAAACAAACAAGTCAAATAAAATGGAACAAACATGACAGGACACCAAAATGAAGTTTGTTTCTTTCTTTGTGTCTTGCTTGCTTTCCTGCTATCCTACATTAAATTTAGTTCTAGTCAACAAATCAATATCAAAATGTCAAAACAAAACAAAAAATCAAAGCCTCTTATAGGAAAATGAGAAAAAAGAAGATAATTCGAGAAACCCTAGCGTCTGTAAAACAGTTACTGCTGTGTCATGCTGAGTGGTCCACTTAGTCTGGGCAGACAGAAGGTCTATGACACAGATGAACTGCTGATGTACTGATGTATAATTGAAGTGCTACTGTATAATTTATAAAGGCAACACAGCAACATGGTGCGCTTAAAAGCTTCTTGCCACACCAGCTGGATGTACAGACACACTGACACGGCACCAAAGGGCAAGGAAACCTGACATGGTTAAGTGGGGTGATGTGCAAATATAAACATACAATAGCAATCATGCATAAGCGTTTATTTTTAGCTATGTGGGTGGATTCGGCTACATTGCACAGGAATCTTAGGGTTACTGTAATTTACTGGCATGGCTTTGCATGATTCAGCATTGTTTTTTATCAGATTTGTTATTCTTATATTATATGACTGAGCAAATTATTGCATTTATCAGGCTGAAGACCCATATTTCATACAAGTGTGAAACTTATGAACAGAATAGTCATTCTTATACATTCTCTCCATTGGCTAACCTTTAGCCAATTAAATAATGAAAATAAAATTTAAAATATTACCTATTTTTCTGGGGACCCCCTGACACCACCTTAAGGACCCCTAGGGGTCCGCAAACCCCATGTTGAGAACCACTGATTTAGACTACTGCGTTTGCCAAAATACTGATCAATGTCTGAATCAGCAATGATAGTAGGGGTAACATGGTATTACAGAAATGTATTATGTTCCAATTATAACACAATTGTTCAAACAAATATGAAAACAAAGATGACTGTAAAATGAAGCGTAAATGATTTAGTAAGAGCCAACACAAGCATTATGGAGAGACAAGAGGAAGCACAGACAAGGACAAAAACATTTAAGAAAAGGAGGCTAACAAGCAGTGCAGCAAACAATACGACAAAGTGAAGGAACTGGAATCCACAATGAGAAGAAATGAAAGTGGGAAGAAAAGAGCTCTCAATGGGGAGATGACTTGTTTGATGCTCTGCAGTACCTGCTGACACTGCTGATCGTTTTGTATAATACAACACAAACACGATTCAATGCATCCTAGCACTAAAGTTACGTAACAGCTTGTATCTCTAGTGATTTCTGTGGCTTTAAAGACCACACAGCAGATTTGATTTGCTCTTGAGGTATAGCAGCACACACATTCACACAAATGTGCACATAGACACACACAGAGACGTAGTGAGTGAAATGTGGCGCTCTCAAGGATGACACAGTGGAGCTCTGAGTAAATCTGCTCCAAGAATCCTAATCGATGTGTCACAAAAATGTCAACTAGCCAAAAGATATGAAACAACACAAACAACTCAAAAAAAAAACTAACCGAAAGACCTAAAACTTCTGTCAAAAGACACACACACACACACACACACACACACACACACACACACACACACACACACACACAACACACACACACACACTGATATAACTCTCAGATAAACACACAAACACAAAAAGAGAGGAGGCTCTCCACACAAGGCAGAAGTGAGGTCAAATGGATTTCTACCTCTCAGGATTTAACAGGACAACTTTAGAAAAAGGGCAGGGAGGGATGTTGGAAGAGATGAATAGAGAGGTAGAAGGTGTTGGTGGAGAGAGAACCAGAGAGCGAGAAAGAGGGAGAGTAGAGTGAAGTGCTTTTTGAGCACAAAGTCAATTACAGAGCACTATCAAAAACATTAACTCCCCCTCTACACATTGACAGTTATCAGTTCATTCACAACTCTGAAACCCTAAAAAAGTACTACTTTGTTGTAATTTATTCCCCATTAAATGGAGTCTGAAGATCTTCTGTTTAAATGTAATCCAACACATGAACCGTTGTATGTGTAAAGCACACATTTTAAAAAGATCCATCGTTCATAAACCAAATAGAAGAGTGATACAGGAATCATTTCAAGCCTTTGGAATATACTCCACCTATAAATGCTATGCATGCAGAAACCCCCTCTAACAACCACACACACACACACACACACACAGAGTTCATGGATTCCTGTAAATGCTACAGGAAACAGCTGAAACATTAGTGCTGACATAAAACCACGTCTGTGGAGTTATTTTAAAGACAGAAAATCAATCAGGGGAAATGAGCCTAAATCTATACCTCTCTAGGTTTTATCCCAGATTCTGTGGCCATACCTCACAGGCCTCAGGGAATCCTTCTGATGGACCAGAGACACAGTATATGATACACTGCGTAAGTAAGTGGGCAGGGCTCAGCATATACAGTAAGTTCTGTCAATAATATGCCTACGGGCAAAGCTTTATGAGGGATTATATTATATTATTCCATTGCTCATGACATGACCATCCATTAAATCATCCATACCGTCCACTCCCCTCGGGCTGCAGAGAGAAGTCCCCCACACAATCAACGGTTCACTTGGCCGAAGGCTTTGTGGCTCACTGATATATTTCTCCTGAATGGAACTCCTGACTGCGCGCTTGTTACTATTTAATTTATTGAACCTTTATTTGATCAGGAATGACTTTGAGATTCAAAATCTATCCTATCCAGCCTGCATATGACATGATCAGAAAGATATATCATAGAACTGTAAAATCAACAACTATTACATAATAGCTCACCACCTAAAAAAGAAAATTACTTTTGTATCGAAGGAGCATAACTATTATTTGCCACTTTGGATAGTACTCAGTTTCAGTCTCTGGTCTCTGCTAGTGGCAACACAACAATATCAATATCAATAAGACTATGGGAGTTCCTCGACCAATGGGAGGTTATAAATAACCATACTTTTATTTAGCATTTTAGAAAAAGTATTTTTTGTCCCTAAATTGTCTGGGACAAGAGGCAATCATTTTCAAATGAGTGTATCACTACTGTATGAGTGTGGTGTCTGTGTCCCTGTCTATTTACAGCGTTTGTATTTTATCACCAGGTCAGCTTAATTTTGGATCTGTTGGTAGAACTGGAATATAATATGCATAGGTAGGTTTAGGGGCATTCACATTTTTTTCGCATTTCATGTCCACCGTAGTTTCTCTTAGAAAGGGAGGGTGAAGCGACAGAGTTGCAATGTGAAACTACACAGCTAGATGCCACTAAATCCTAAACACTAGACCTTTCAGATGAACACGCAGGTGATCCGGGTTACAAAAAAGAATTCTTGCATTGAAGAAAATTCTCTTTATGGCTGCTATTTTTAAAAGAAAGACTAATGAGAACTGATGGGATAATTACAAGCACAAGTGTGTACAGTAGGTACACTTGTTTCAAAAAGTACTATTTTTCTGTTTTTACCTTTTTTCTTTTCTCTTCACTCTGACAGGCCTCTCTCTCTTCACGTCAGATGCTTGTCTGCCAATTACTCTGAGCACAGGGAGTAACAAGCAGTATTCCTACAAGTCAACAAATATAATTGCCTCCACCTTGGAAAAACTGCTGCTGCTATGTTTGTGCCGTTATGACTCAGCCCACATTTTCCATGCGGTTTTGTAATTGACCACACTCTTTTCTTACTGGTGTCAGGAATCACTAAATTGTTGGGGGATTGTGGATGACTGTTCCACATCATTATCTATCATTAGTTTCCTTATAAAACAGGTGTTTTTGACTTGAGTAATGCAAAGAGTGGGAGGAGGAGAGGACAGGGAGAGGGTTGATGAAGGCTTTGAAAATGTAAAGAAAGTTGAGAAGTGAGGGACCGGAAGGAGAGGAAAACTGCCAAACTTTACTGCAACATTGACTAGTAAATACATTCACAAGGGAGGTGCAAGATGAAAAAGAACACAAAGTAATGACCTTTGCAATAATTGTATACATCCATATGTGTACATACATTAATATGTCCAAGAGTATGAATGACTGCATGTCTGCAAGGTATAACATCTCAGCACAACCATGTTGGAAAGCTTGCCAAAGCCAGCTAAGTTAACTGGTTTAGCTGGACACCACTGACACCTGCTTTATCTTAAAAGTTGTCATTAATTAGATCAATTTTCCAACAAAGTGGCAAAATTTTTTAATTCAAGACGGATTTTCTAACATCTCTACTTATACTAAATTTAGTTATAAAATTCTCAGTATGGATTCAATTGTTTGGCTAAAAATCTGACCATGCATCACCACCCCAAGACCTGCCTCTGTTTCAAGTCAACTGTCATCTGAAACAGACACTGCAAGATATTTGTTGGAATTAGTAAACAAATTTTATATGGGTTGGTATGATATATAGTATAACTTCAATGTATTTACAGGAGTTATGTCAATTCATTATTGTTAACTTACTTTGCATACAGAGTCCGTCAGTACAGTTCTGAGACTGGAGGACCATCCCCTCGCAGTCCTTTCCTCCATTTTTAGGTGCTGGGTTGTTGCACTCTCTCCTCCTCCACTGGGTACACTCTGTCCCACAGGCTGACCACTTACTCCAGTCTGTCCACACACCGTCCACTAGAGGGAAAAGATGTGAAAAGGAAACAAGAGATGACCCAAATCACCTAAACTGTAGCATATATAGGCTGGAAAGTAAAAAAAAAGAAGAAAAAAAAAGACTAAAAGTGGAATGAAGCAGAAGCTGAGTGCAGGACAGAGCAGGTCAAATCTTGGGGCCATAATAAAAGTAGTTCAAAGATAAATATAGTATAAATACAGTATGGATACACTAGCAAAACTAAATAGCACAGAGTGAATAAATCTGGATAAAATTGGACTAGAAGAGACGTACCGGTGCACAGTGTGGTACAGGCCAGTTTCTGTATGGCCTGTCCATCACAAGGCAGTCCTCCGTTGAGAGGGGCAGGGTTAGTGCAGCTGCGGGTTCGTTTCTGGAAGCCTCGTCCACACCGGCTGTTACACACCGACCACTCCGTCCATGTTGACCAACCACCGTTCACTGTGACAACAGATCAGTAACTTAATCAATACATTAATCCACACATGCATTACTCAGCCATTTTAAAGTAGTTGAAAGTATTTCAACGTTTTCATTTATTTGCTGCAAAAAGAAGTGACTGCAAGGTGAAGTTCAGCTCTAAAATGAACCGAACACAAATATCTGTTGCACAGAACAGTCATCGATGCCCACACACACGTCGTCTATGACTGCTTTAAGCCACACTACAAGACATGGACAATAAACCTTGTGTATAGACTGATAAATACATCTGCATTTCTGACATATTGTGCCTTCTGTGGTGTTGGATATTGTTGACCAGTTACAGTTTGGCCAATGCCGTTAACCCCTGCGCACATTGTAATATTTTTATTTTTAGATTGTTTTATCTTTTCAATTATGCATTGTGTATGTGCATTTGTGTTTGGAAACTCTATTGCCTCAAATTGGCCCTTCAGGGTCAAATAAATATTTTGAATCAAATTTAACAACAGTCTGCAGTAGACATACTAATATGAAAGCCTCAAGTTGGTGATGTTTATACAAAATAGGTCTGTGATGAAGCAATTAAATGGCACAGGGTGCATTAAAGACCTATTCTATCACGGAGGCCTTTCATACTCAATGGAGAAATCTGTGTTTTTAATGTGTTGTTCCATTTAATTGGAACTATTTGTCTTGATGGAGTCAGTATGTGTTTTACAATTGCCAGAAGGCTGAGTTGCTTGCTAGTGAGAACAGCTGGATTTTCTGCACACCAAACACACACGCACACACACCGTCTTGTGCAACTTTTCGATTACCCTGCTGCTACTGTAGCACAATTTCTTCACACTGCTTTCACATGCTGTCAAGCTGCTTGAAAATTACTTAACCCTGGACCCTTGTTGGAGAGAGCACATGGACAAAAAAATAAGTATTATAAGAGGAGTTATCTGTATCCTCACTAGCCAAAATAGCCATGTGTGTTTTCATATTCTGTTTTTCCTTTCTCCTTCTTGCTGTCTCTGTCATTTTTTGTACCTCTACAAGATTTCTCCTGCATCCTGTCACATTTAGACTTGCCTGTTGCTGCATTATTTTGTGTTATTGTTGTTTTTGAGACGAGAAATGTGGCAGCACAGTGCAGACAAAGATAAGGGCAGATGAGAGACAGACAGAAAGAAATCAGGCATAAAGTTTCGATGAGTCACAAGGACACCCAGAGAAAGAGTTGACATCCGGAAAAGTAAGGTAGGTTGAAATTGCTCTGCTTCATTTCAACAGCTCTGTCTCGGCCCAGTGGACAGTGCCCACTTTCCCAGTGCCCAATTAGAAATGAATTTTCAGAAAGGAGAAGTAAAATCAGGTACTCTTGTAATCTACTTTGTTCGGTTTTTCTACTCTTTTTTTCTTCTTCACTCACACACTGTATCTCGCCATATTCTCCTCTGCCTCTCCTTTCTCCTCACCTGTCTCCCCTCCATCTACAGCTGCTCCATTTTCTTTTCGCTTATGTTTCTTCTGTTTTTTCCGCTACTATTTCACCTTGTCAACAGTGTCAGCCGGGCCCTTGTGGAGCCGAGAAGATTGAACCAGAGATTGAACAATCTATTTCTGTAAGGATACATCAGTGTCAAACCACTCCATCTCTTGCTGTCTGTATCGAACATGCACACACGCACAGTTATTTTTGATTGAAACACTCCTCCTAGTGAATAGACTCAGTGTTATATTTGAGAGAAACACAGTGTGTGTGTGTGTGTGTGTGTGTGTGTGTGTGTGGGGGGGGGGTGTTCCGCTGTACATTGTTTCTCCTCAAAATGTTTTCCTGTCCTCTCATGTCAGGCTGGCATTTGGTAAAATGGAAAAAAAGAGACAAGCCATATGAGGCATTTTCCTCCACTCAAAAAGCTTTTTCTTCTCAGTTTTTAGTTACAAAAGCATGAGAAGAGCATTGCCTGAAAAACTGACTAACACCATTCAGAACTGAGATATTCAAACTTTTTTGTTTTTTTTTATTGTTGTTGTTTTTCACAGCTGTTGTCATGCCATATGCTGCACAATTCATTTGGTGGTGGGACTCTTGGCTGAAAGCGCAGACATTTGGAAGGCCCACGTGTTCTAATTTAGAACTGAAGGTGCGATTGGTGGATTTTAATTGGGTGAGGTCAAGGGTGATGTTGGAATATCAGGCCAATCACAAAGAGAGTGTGTTGGCAATGCAGTAGAGCTAATTTCATGTGGCAGATGGGGGCTGGCTCGGCCGATCAGAGACATTGTTGGGTGGCTGCAGCTAGCATTTAAAATAGGTGTCATATCAGTAAAATTAGAAACATTATATACATACACTAAAAAAGACACATACACTCACGGAAACAGATAATCTAAATTAGAATAATTCAAGCTTTAAGTGACAAGATTTTTTGGCAATGTACGGCCAGACTAATGCTGTCGCAAGCATGCAAACTCACCATAAACAATAACAGTCGCTGTAGTGCTTCGCCTTTTGGCCACTATGTTCTTCGCCACACATGTGTAGTTGGCCGTGTCAGACAGACGCGCCTGTTTGATGATCAGATTGTGGTCGATGGTGATGTAGAAGTTTCTGTCCTCCGCTGGGTCAATTATCTCTTCGTTCTTCAACCACTCCACCTGGGAGACAGAGAAAGGAGAGAATGATGTCAGTATAGAAGTTTCTCTACACCTTTGACAGAGATCAGAACAATGTAGCTAAAGAGAGACGATAATAGGTAAATTGTGTTATTGTGTCATAACACTATGTCTTATCTGAATTTACAGTGGAAGAGTTTGTTCCTGCCATAAAGCCAAAAACAAATACAACCAGATAAACAATTATTTATAATTTGCTTTTTTCAACTTCATTAGATCTTGCCATCTGAGGGAAATTATACATTTGTTTTCATATCTGAACCACCTTGAGAAAAATTATAAAAGTACAATGGTGGGGAAACAAAATTGAAAATATGGTTTGAAAGTCACTTCCGTCTAAAAAAGAACAAAGAACAAAAGAATCAAGTTTGGGTGTTGGTATAATCTTGTTTTTCCAAGATTACAAATAAAGAAGAGATGGAAGGACTTTTTATAAGGATGATGTTGTAATCTTGTTTTTCAACGGTTAGGCAAAGTAATATGTTTGAGATATCAAATATAAAATAAAAAACAACATTTACAAGCAAATAAATAGACTTTGTGGCATACGATGTGAAAATAATAGTAATAATGAATAATGAAACTACCGAAAGATGTTCATGCATCAGGTGACAGAATCATACAGTGGTAATAGTAATAAAGACCATCATCCACAGCGGACCCCAATATGCAACCTTGGGGTAGCAGTGTAGAAAAGGAGGAAAATGTCCCAAACATATGCTTTTGCAAGGTACTTTGGGTGAAGGGTGGAACAGTGGGAAACTATCCTATTTATGAGCCTAATCACATTTCCTGAGTGCTGTATTTACTGGTCCAAACCCTCATAAATTCAGCCTGTCCGAGCTTTATGGCAGGCACATAAATGTCCGAGCCGCGTTGTTTAATTCACGTTGTTTAATTTCCTCCTCCCTTCGCATTAGGAAATGGAAATCTCAGATGCAGAAAAGAGGAAATTCAGTGTTATTCTGCAGTTTACTGCCGGCTCAGGCTCAGCTGTCATTCTTCTTCTCTCTCAGTTATTCAGCCCGTTTCTCTCTCTGATCTTCAGAGATTCGGCAGTGCTCTTTGGCCATGGGGCTCACTGTAGCTCTGAATTCTCAATCTTAAGTGAGATGCTGTGTGACCTTTCAGTTTCCATTACAAAGTAAAGGTTATACTGGAGAAAACAGCAAAGACAAACAAACAAAAACATATATATACACGGTGCACATGGTCATGTGAGGAGTTTATCCTTGTACTGTAAAAGTAGAAACTAGTGTAGTTGTTCTCTCTCACAAAGAAAAAGCAATGTGTGTTATATGGATTTTTATTCATTCATGCTCAGGATAGTTAAATAAGCTGCACTATGGTTACACATAAAAATGACACACAAACATGCACAGAAAAATGGCTTTTGTTTACAATATACTGCATTTGATTCACTCCGTTCTCAGAGATCAAAGCGTATTGGTCAGACTACTTAACCATATGAACATAGACAAAGTGAAGATGAATGCAGTTCAGCACTGCTACTCAAGTAATATTTGTCTTCAGCAAAACACTGTTAGAAAAAATAAAATACAAACAACTGTCAGAGTCAAAGTTTTCCTATCAACTTTGAATTTTCAAAGCGTACAGTCAAGTGTCTCACCCATGACCTGAATTTTCCTCTTGATGATCAAAGCACCATGATAAAATATATACACGCTGGCCGTGAACCAACAACCCAGGGGACATGGAATATAGGAGAGTGAAAGATAAAACAAGTTAAACTGGTTAAGAAAAATGAAGATGATCCCGGGTGCAATATCACCAAGGGACTGCAAGTGTGACCTGACTCTATTCAGGTAAGCTGGTTAAGTCAGTTAGCGCAAATTGTTAGTTTCAACTAGTCAGCGCTAGTTGGGAATTGCCACAAAAAAGCTTTCTTTTGGGTTGGGCACGGTGGCTCAGTGATTAGCACTGCCGCCTCACAGCAAAAAGGTCTGGGGTTCGAAAGGGACAGGGCCTTTCTGTGTGGAGTTTGCATGTTCTCCCAGTGTCTGTGTGGGTTTCCTCTGGTTGCTACGGTTTCCCCCACCATCAAAACATGCATGTTAGGTTAATTTCTCCAGTCAGTGCCCTTGACCAATGCACTGCTCTGGATCTTGAGTTGGACCCCGGGTGCTGTGGAGTGGCTGCCCACTGCTCCTAATACTTGGGATGGGTCGAATGCATAGGACACATTTCACTATATGTGCTACTGTGTATGATTATAGAAAACAATAAAGTTGATTCTTTCTATTTGGGGACCACAGTGGCACATCCCTGGAAAACTGTGACAACAAATTATGCTACTTAAAAGGCAAAACTGTGGCCATGTTTAAAATATTTCCACCATCACACAGCACTGACACTGAACCCAGCAGAAAAGGTACAACACCACAAACAAACTAAGCACTTTTATCAGCAACTTTAATGTACTGCTTTGTCACAATATTCAGATAACTGAAGTAAACTTGGAATTTTAATTGATGAAGTGGATAATGAGTATATTCAAGAAGTTGTGCAAAACTATGTGCTCAATACTAGTATTTTATCTGTCAAAGAACAGCAAAAACACACTAGCTTTTACTATAAATAAATAGATTTGCAACAGCAGATGTAAAATTATGAAACACGGTTAAATATGACCATGAAAATGCTGATTTTTGTTTGTTTCTCTAACAATTTGTGTTGTGGTTGCTAAAACTTTCAACACATTTAAAAAGTGGTCCAATACATTCATCCCCCTAAACCCTTCTTCTGTCCATCCAGTCATCAACTGTCTTATTACACTCTGTATGCTAATTATTTTTGTTTATGTTGAAACTTCTCTGTTCATGTATTCAACCATTTACTTCCTTTCTTCCTCCAAGCACTGTTAATAAACTACAACAACAAATCCAATGAATAGAAATGTGTACCTTCTTTTAAAAAGTAATTTGAAGTCCACTTCTAATTAACCTAGGGAACCTTCTGCTTTATAAGTTGCTTACTCTGGCAATGTCTTCTACAGTGCTAAAACAAGCAACATCAAGCAACCAACATCAACCATTTAACACTAAACAATAAATTAAACGTTCTCACTCTCTACATACAACAAGCAGCATTTGATCAAAGGAGACTTTTAACTGTAAAAGATTACATAATCAGTTTTTTTCCAAGCAATCAATTCATGAATTATTCTAATTTTATGCAGCAAACTTGATTGTTGCCCAAAATGTCACACAGGTGTGGAATGGTAACAATTGTATATATTTTTTTATATTTGTATTGCATTTTTGTCCTTTTTTACTCTTTGCACTACATTTCCCCGTGCTGCTGTTCCAAACTAGAATTTCCCCTACAGTAGATCGATAAAGGGACATCTTATCTCAAGAACATTTACTTAACTGCTATACTTAAATTCAAGATACTTAAGTATTTCCAATTTATGCATCTTTATACTTACTACTCCACAACATCTCAGAGGCAAATATTATACTCCACTATATTTGTCTTTAGTTTCTAGTTACCTTTCAGATTACAATATTCATAACCCTTCCTGTCCAGTGAAAACCATATATCTAAAAAGTTTGGCTATTTTTCTGATAAATGATTAAGTGTTCCTTTATAGTTTGAAACAATTCTCCTATTACTTAAACTAAATAAACCCTCTTGGATTAGGTCTAAGATCCATTGTTGTTTTTCTGAGCAGAAAAGTTGACTTTTTAGAGATACATGGTTCTCACAGCACAGTAACACTACAAACACATGACTTAAGAGAATATGATGCATTGCGGTTAACTACCTGACTGTATATAAAGTAGGTAGAATTAGCGCAACCTTAAACAACTACAGCAGTAAAATGCAACATAGACATTAATGCAACAGTAATATTAATAAAAAACATCATAATAGTAAAACACTTAGAAGGAACATTTTTCCTTAGAATTAATACTTTTATCTTTGATACTTTCAGTACATTTTGCTGATACATACAAACTCATTTAGACTGTTTCATAACAAGTTAAAAACTCCTTGTAGTAGGTTTAAGTAAAGGATCTGAGTACTCCTTCCACCACTGGCTCCACAACGTATAATCAGATCACTTTCCAGCTTAAATATGCTACTAATACAGGCCGTTATTGGCAGCCTATTAATAATAGCTATGAGCTCTTGTATGATGATGCACTGAAAATAGCCGCAGTCTTTGATGATGCCAGAAGGTTGAAGCATGTGAGAGTGATGTGTGCTCTGCTGGGCTAGACAAAGAGACCACATGTGGTGGCTATACAGCCACTGCCACCGCATCATTAGCCACAGCTGGTGTAAGAGAGAGTGTGTGTGTGTGTGTAAATGGCAGAGGGTGGCTGATTGGATCAAGCCAACCCCAGGGGAGAATGTGTATTTGTTATTTTAACTCTCGCCCCCACATCACCTGTCTCTCTCACTTTATCCACACACCACTAAACACACACACACACACACACACACACACACACACACACACGCAACCACCAACACCCATAAACCTTTGTTTTATTGCTACGGTGTAGATATTAAATAATGGCATTATACATGCCTGTGTGGAGATACTTTAAATGCTTAGTGTGGTTGATCACACATACACACACACACACACAATACTTTGACACAGTTGCGCATACACAAACATAGGCGATACTCTTGTCCTCTGTTTCAACTGTAACAGGATTTTAAAAAACGGTTCAAGAAGAGTCCATTCTTTTTGTTCTTTAAACAAAAAAAATCAAATAGCTTTCTATTCAAAGGGATAAAAGCTTTGTCTGATCAATTACACACACACTTTGTTCATGTTGTCTTTCTGCTTGACCCAGTGACTGAGACATTAATGTGACTACAGGTATATTTCAAACCTTGTGCCTATGAATACTAGATAAAAGCAGATTTGTATTTCGTCAGTTCTGAATAATACGCTTGTAGTGCTTGGATACTGCAATATACACGACGTCTAGTGAGAA